TATGCCCTCCCCTGAAAATAAGCCCTAGGGAAGGGGTGCGCATGGGCATCTCAGGAGGCAGCCCTTCCCTTCCCTGGTCACCTTATGGAAGCTCGGCACCTTACTTGCTGCCCGCGGATCAGCTGAGCTGCCTCTCATTCTGTCTCTCTGCGGAGGCCTCCCAGTGCAATGCTCTGCCACAGCTTCGGAGCAAACCTCCGCCTTCCCTGCACAGGATTGCAATGCTGGAGGCTTCGGAGGGAGCATTTTTGGGATGTGTGTCTGTGCCGAGCTCTCCAAGGACAGAATGATCGGCAGGGAAATGGGGGGGATTTTCCTGCAGATGGGAGCAAGGCGAAGCCTCCAGCCTTGCAATCCTGCGCAGGGAAGGCGGAGGTTTGCTCCGAAGCCATGGCAGTGCAATGCCTCCGCAGAGAGACAGAACAAGAGGCAGCTCGCAGCCCATGCTGGCTCAGCTGATGGAGGTTCCCTTGTGGGGTGCAATCAAACTTCCAACCCCAATGGACCTGGTGGGCATGAGCTCCCCCAACCCAGAAAGGGGAAGGAGCTGATGGGGGTGGGGGGAGCTGTGGGAAGTTCTAGGAGTTGAAATCCACAAGTCTTTAAATGCCCAAGCGGCTGCCTATGCTGCTGCTGGCCTCTTCGCCCTCCTGGCAACACTGCGCTCGGCTGCGGGACTGCTCCTGCCTGGCAGGGGATTTATTTATTTATTTATTTAATCTAATTTTTATACCGCCCTTCTCCCGAAGGACTCAGGGCGGTGCACAGCCAAAAAATAAAACAAACACACATATATAATTAAAAGCAATTTAAAAAACATATTAAATAATTTGGCCCCAATATCATTAAAAAAACTAAAACAACCCATTAAAATTAATGTTTAGGGTTGAATCATCCCAGATTGAAAACCTCCAAAAAACATTCTAAGCGCCACCAGCCTGCCAGGGCTCCTTCGGGAGTGGCTGCCTGTGTCTCCTCGCCCGCCTCACCCTTTGGGCTGCTGAGTGCCAGCCTATGTGCCTGCATGCCTTCCATTGCTGCTTCTGGGATTGCTTCTTTTCCTTCTTCCCCCCCTCCCCCATCTCTTTCCCTTCCATTGCTGCTTCTGGGGAGCGGACAGCGATGTTCTGTCCCCGTCTCACACACGCACACAAACAGACAGCCGGGGGTTAAATAAACTGGCAGACAACCAATTCTTCCGATAAGAGGATTGGCAGCAACCCAGTAGCTGCTTGCCAAGAACTTTACTCATAAACAAAATACACACAGTTCGAGAATAGTCCAGTTCGTAAAATAAATCCAAGGCAAGTAATGTTGTTTCCAAAGATGCAATGTGACTCGATAGTAGTTAGTTTTGTCCGTCACAGAGTCTGAATGGCCACCTCACCCCCTTTTATACCCTGTGGGGTGTGGTCCAGTGACTCAGCCTAATCTCTGGCACGCCTCTTCTTCTGTTGTGCACGCTTATCTCTGCAACACTGGCGTGGATCCAGCCAAGACTCATCACCCTCATCACTGTCCACCTGTGGCTGCGTGGACGTGCTTGGCCCCGGCCCTATCTCTTGCCCTTCGGTGGACACCGAAGGCATTGCCAGAGAGGAGGGTCCTGGAGAGGGAGGCCTTGCCAACTCCTCTCCTTCACTCTCGGAGTCCTCTCCTGCCGATGACACAGGCTCAGGTAATGGAGCCACAACAAGCATGACAAGAGACTGGGGCCAGTGGTAGCACTTTAAAAAAGTAAGATCTCCCCGAAAATAAGCCCAAGTGCTTATTTTGTGGAAGCCCAAAAGAAAATAAGACCCTGTCTTATTTTCGGGGAAACATGGTAATTTAATGAAAAGAAGGACTAGGGGTGACATGATAGCAGGTACACAATATTTGAGGGGCTGCCCCAGTGGTGAAACCTGAACTGGTTTGCCACCGGTTCACTGGCCATGCATGCGCAGCGCACACCAAATGCACACTTCACACGGAAAAAGGAGGCTTGGGAAGGGAAGTAGAACAGCGAAGGCTGTGCTGTGCGATTTAGATTCACTAGGAAGCAGGATTTCGTGCTTTCTAGCGATTTTAAATTGCACGGCACAGCTGATCATTGGGAATATCAGTTCAGAGGAACCGGTAGCTTTTTTTTTTACTATCAGTTCACCCGAGCCGGTGCGAACCGGTAGCATTTCACCCCTGGGCTGCCCCAAAGAGGAGGGGGTCACTTTATTTTCCAAAGCACCCGAAGGCAGGGCAAGAAGATCAAGGAGAGAAGCAACCTGGAACTGAGGAGGGATTTTCTATGAGTGGGAAGAATGAACCAGTGGAAGAGAAGTTGTGGGGGCTCCATCACGGGAGGCTTTCAAGAAGAGACTGGACAGTCGCTTATCTGAAATGGAATAGGGTCTCCTGCTTGAGCTGAGGGTTGGACTAGAAGACCTCCAAGATCCCTTCCAGCTCTATTTTTATTTCATTTTTTAATCTTATTTGTATCCTGCCTTTTGTTTTATTTGATTACAATGGGGTTTTTTTTTCTTGTTTAATTTTTCCTGGTTTAATTAACTGAAGAAATATTGGATCTGTTGATTGATTGATTGATTGATTTTCTGCATTCAAAGCAGCCAAGATCTCCAACACACCTTCCTCCTCCTGTTCTGCCCAACGGGTGCCCCCCTCCCCCCCAATGAATGTCCTTCAAGCCTTGTGGCCTTTGGCCAAGGGAACCCTTGAAAGTCCCAAATGATCTGGGATGACTTTTCTTGAATCAACCTCTCGCCTCCCTGATGTCCTTTGTGGACAATCCACAGTCAAGGACCATCAGCCTGGTTTCCATGCTGGACACATGTGTAGGGACGGGCGGTGCGTGGACAGCCGTGACCCCAAAGCCTGGGACTAATTTGGCCGTGGTCTTCAGAGCTGGTTCTTTGCTGCTCTTCTGGCTCCCTCTGCTGGTCACCTCCAAGTGCAGCCTCCCAAGAAGCCCCATCGTCCACCTTGAATGACGCTCAAGGAGAACACAGGGCAGAAGATAGAACGGCAGGGTGGGAAGGGACCTTGGAGGTCTTCTAGTCCAACCCCCTGCCCAGACAGGAGACCCTACACCATTTCTGACAAATGGCAGTCCAGTCTCTTCTTGAAAGTCTCCAGGGATGAAGCTCCCACAATGGAGTTGGAAGGGACCTTGTAGGTCATCTAGTCCAACTCTCCCTAGCAGGAGACCCTACAACATTCTGGACAAATGGCTGTCCAGTCTCTTCTTTAAAAACTCTTGTCACAGAGAAGAGGAGGTCCACCTATTCTCCCAAACCCCTGAAGGCAAGACAAGAAGCCATGGATGGAAACTCATCAAGGAGAGAACCAATATAAAAATAAGGAGGAATTTCTTGACAGTGAAAACAATTAACCAGTGGAACTGCTTGCCTCCAGAAGTTGTGGGTGCTCCATCATTGGAGGTTTTTAAGAAGAGACTGGACAGCCATTTGTCTGAAATGGCATAGGATCTCTTGCCTGAGTAGGGGCTGGACTAGCAGACCTCCAAGGTCCCTTCCAACTCTTGTTATTCGATATCTAGGCTAGGTCCATCAAATGGGAAGGAGGCTTTGTGTCCCCTTCAAAGTTGCTGCAGCCAGGACCAGAGGAGACCTCTGGCATCAGTCAAACCTCAGATCCATTGTGAACCACCACTCACATCCTGGGCCACCTGGAGCCTCAAGGAAGCTCACGCCTGTCAGGTTGACCAACCGTGGTGACCCTTTGTGGACAAGGGAGAGGCAACTGTCCTTGAGGGCTGTCTAGCTCCCCCAAAAGGTCCCCACCGAGACTTAGCAGAACCTGTCCATCATAGGTTGAAGAACCCGGAGCTTGGTCAAAGATAAGGAAATGCAGACAAAAAAGGAAGATCTCCCCTCCTTCCCTCCCTTCCCTCCATTTCCTTTCCTCCCTTTTGTTCTTTCTGTTCCATCCTTCCTCTTATCTATTCCTTCCTTTTTCCTTTCCTTTCTTCATCTCTGCTTGCTTGCTTCCTTCCTTCTTTCCCTTTTCCTTCCTTCCTTCCTTCCTTCTTTCCTTCCTTCCTTCCTTCCCTCCTCTTTCCTTTCATCTCTGCTTCCTTGCTTCCTTGCTTCCTTCCTTCCCTTTTCCTTCCTTCCTTCCTTGCCCCCTTCCTTTCCTTTCCTTTCCTTTCCTTTCCTTTCCTCACCTCTCCTTCCCTCCTCTTTCCTTTCCTTTCTTCATCTCTGCTTGCTTGCTTCTTTCCCTTTCCCTTCCTTCCTTCCTTTCCTCCTCTTTCCTTTCATCTCTGCTTCCTTGCTTCCTTCCTTCCCTTTTCCTTCCTTCCTTCCTTGCCCCTTTCCTTTCCTTTCATTTCTTTTCCTTCACCTCTCCTTTTCCCTCCTTCCTTTCCTTTCCTTTCTTCATCTCCTTGCCTCCTTCATTTCCTTCTTTCTACATTAACACCTTCATTCCTTCCCTCCTTTTTTCCTTTCTCTTTCTTTTCCTTTTATTCTCTCTTCTCTCCTTCCATCCATCCATCCACCCACCCAAAAACATCCGAATTGCTCTAGGTTTTAACGGTCTAGTTTTACAGCAAGCAAGATTTGTACAGAGCTGGACATCTTCTAATCCAGCAGTGAACTTTCGAGGTTGTCGTGTTTTACCTTCTGTTCCAAGATGATAACCTTCAGGAGACGTCCCTCAAGCATCCAAAAAGCAAGATTTGTGCCTGTCTCGGTGGCCTCTTATTATTTTTCTCCAAGGAGTGAAAAGTGGCAAGCAATGGTGTTACACACATGCTCCCAGGTTCGACTTACATGCATTCACACACAAACTCCCAGTTCAGGTCAACAGCCTCACTCAAATCACTTTCAACCCAACTGATTCTTTGGAAAACTCGGAGACCCGAAGGAGTTAAAGGAACAAGAAAACTTTGCTGGTGACAATGCACATTTGCTCTTTTTCACATGCACACACACACACACACACTTATCCACATCTTCCTCACCTCAGCTGTCAAGCACTAGTTGTCTAGGATTTTCCTCCAGTTGATTTTTTTATTATTATTTTGAGCTGTCCAAAGGTGCAAATGGCTGAAAGCACGGGCAAACACAAATGTTAACTCCAATAGGCAGGAATATTTGTAGCTCAGGGATGAACTGAAGGGTCCTTGGCAGTCTTTGAGATTGGGGGGGGGGGAGAGAATTCCATGTGAAAAGGGCTGTTCCTGGAGAATTTTCTGCAGAACCCCAAACTGAACTCCAGTGGAACCAGGAGTAGGGATAATATTCCTCCTATTTTTTCCTCCTATTTTTCTCTGTTTCTCCTCTGCACCTTCTCTATCCGTAGCGCACGTCCGATGCAAAGACCAGGAAATCCTGCAGATAGATACAAGGGGAAATGTTTACTCATCTCTCTAGCCCTGTCTCCATCCCTCCCTCTCTCCCTCTATTTTTCTCTTTCTCCCTCTCTCTTTCTTCTCTCTCTTTCTGTCTCTCTCCCTCCTTCTCTCTTTCTCTCTCCCTCTCTCTCTATCTCCCTCTCTTTCTCTCCCCTCATTCTTTCTATCTTTCTCTCCCCTCTCTTTCACTCTCTCTCTCTCTTTCTGTCTCTCTCCCTCCTTCTCTCTTTATCTCCCTCTTTCTCTCCCCCTCATTCTTTCTATCTTTCTCTCCCCTCTCTTTCACTCTGTCTCTGTCTCCCTCCTCTGTCTGTCTCTCTTTCCCCCTCCCTCCCATCTTTCTCTCCCTCCCTCTCTTTCTCTCTCCCTCTCTTTCTCTTGTTCTTTCTCTCTCTCTCCTCCTTCTCTTTCACTCTCTCTGTCTCTTTCCTCTCTGTCTCACTTTCTCTTTATGTCTTTCTGTCTCTTTCTCTCTCTCCCCCTCTCTTTATCTGTCTTTCTTTCTCTCCCTCATTCTTTCTATCTTTCTCTCCCCTCTCTTTCACTCTCTCTCTTTCTGTCTCTCTCCCTCCTTCTCTCTCTTTCTCTCTCCCCCCTCTCTCTCTTACTCCCTCTTTCTCTCCCCCCATTCTTTCTATCTTTCTCCCCCTCTCTTTCACTCTGTCTCTGTCTCTCTCCTCTGTCTGTCTCTCTTTCCCCCTCCCTCCCATCTTTCTCTCCCTCCCTCTCTTTCTCTCTCCCTCTCTTTCTCTTGTTCTTTCTCTCTCTCTCCTCCTTCTCTTTCACTCTCTCTGTCTCTTTCCTCTCTGTCTCTGTCTCACTTTCTCTTTATGTCTTTCTGTCTCTTTCTCTCTCTCCCCCTCTCTTTATCTGTCTTTCTTTCTCTCCCTCATTCTTTCTATCTTTCTCTCCCCTCTTTCACTCTCTGTGTCTCTCTCCTCTGTCTCTCTCTCCCTCCCTTCCTCCCATCTTTCTCTCTCCTTCTCCTCTCCCTCTCTTTCTCTTGTTCTTTCTCTTTCTCTCTCTCCTCCTTCTCTTTCACTCTTTCTGTCTCTCTCCTCTCTGTCTCTCTTTCTCTTTATGTCTTTCTGTCTCTTTCTCTCTCTCTCCCCCTCTCTTTATCTGTCTTTCTTTCCCACATTCTTTCTACCTTTCTGTCCCCTCTTTTCACTCTCTCAGTCTCTCTCCTCTGTCTCTCTCTCCCTCCCTCCCTCCCATTTTTCTCCCTCTCCCTCCCTCTTTCTTTCTCTCTCCTTCTCCTCTTTCTCTTGTTCTTTCTCTCTCTCTCCTCCTTCTCTTTCACTCTCTCTGTTTCTCTCCTCTCTGTAACTCTGTCCCTCTTTCTTTATGTCTTTCTGTCTCTTTCTCTCTCTCCCCCTCTCTCTTATCTGTCTTTCTTTCCCTCATTCTTTCTACCTTTCCCTTCCCTCTCTCTTCACTCTCTCAGTCTCTCTCCTCTGTCTCTGTTCTTCTCTCTTTCTATTTACTTTGTCTCTTTCTCTCTCTCTTTCTCTCTCCTTCCCTCCCTCCCCCCTCCCTCTTTGTGGTCGAATCAGAAAATTATAATCCTGTTGCTCCGAGGATGCAAATTTTGGTCTCCTTGGCTCAGTTTGCAATCTCTAGGCTTTGCTAGATTTCCGAATGTTCACAACAAAATTTATAGACAGATAAGACTGTCCTAGACTCATAAACATTCCTTAGCATCTGTTTGGAGGCCCCTGCGATAGGACAAAAGTCAGTCTCCCACCTGTCCCACTGAACTGTCCCACCAGTCACTCACCTGGTGAGCCTGAAGGATGGGGTTGGAGAGCTCCAGGTGATCCAGGAGGGGGAGGGGAAATCCTTCAGCCAGACGGGCTGGAAGAGAGAAGTCACAGCATCATGCAGGAAAGCTAAAGCATGGGATTATCTGTTATCATCACCCTTCATGGTCTTCTACTCCAACTCCCTCTTCTCAAGTGGGAGACCCTGGGGACCATTGTGGACAAATGGGTCTCCAATCTCTTCTTCAAAGCCTCCAGTAATGGAGCAGCCACAACGTCTGGAAGGAAGCCCTTCCAGTGAGAGATTGTTCTCACTGTCAGGAAATTCCTCCTTGATTCCAGATTGCTTCTCTGATGATCTTCCACCTGTTACTTCTTCTCCAGAATAACAGAGTTGGAAGGGACTTTGGAGGTCTTCTAGTCCAACCCCCTGCTCAGCCTGGAGACCTTATACCATTTCAAACAAATGGCTTTTCAATCTCTTTGTCAACTTGCAAAGCTTTCAAGTTGCCCTGAGCAGGAGGGAGGGAGAACTGAAGTGCATTCCATACATTCTTTCTGACCGCAATCAGAAGGAAGGTGTTAGGTTTCACATCCAGTCAAAGTGCTTAATTGGAGAATGTGATTTATGACATGGCCAGAGAGGAGGGGAGAGACAGGGTCATAGGGGAACGTAAATCTACGTGGGATCAGTCCTAACTGCATCCGAGTATTGCCGGAATGGTGCTCCTAATAAATGAATATATTTCCTTTGAGGTTTGGATCATGGCTCATGAATTAATTAGGGCATCTTTCAGAAACCTGAAAATCTCTTCTTGAAAACCTCCAATGTTGGAGCTCTCACAACTTCTGAAGGCAACTTCTTGTTCTCACTGTCAGGAAATTTCTCCCTAGTTTTACGTTGTTTCTGTCCTTGATTAATTTCCATCTATTGCTTCTTGTCCTGCCCTCAGGTGCTTTGGAATCCCTTCTTCTCTGTGGCAGCCCTTCAGTTACTGGAAGATGCTGTCATGTCTGCCCTAGTCCTTTTCTTCATTAGACTAGACATACCTAGTTCCTTTAATCATCTATTGTACGGTTTGGCCTCCAGACCCCATGAGAGTCTTTGAACTCTGAAATAATATTATTTGAAAGGTCTTTTGACTTTACAATGTCCTTACCATTCATCTGTGGAATTAGGATGCTGGCCGTAAGGAAGTTTATGAGGGATTCCAACACTTGTACCTGTGTGTTGGGAGAGAAATCCAGAATCAGAAAGCCAAATGAATTTGATTGCTTCTCTTCCTTCAATGGGAGATACTGAATCCATAGGGTCACCCCTGCCTTGGCTTCCAGACCCAAAGGCACCATCCTTCTGACCCAGTTTCCCACCCATTGCCTGGACCCACCAGAAGGACTGAGAGAACATTTCAGTCCATCATCACGTCTGTGGAGAAGGTCCTGTGGAGAAGGACCTAACCCAAGAGGAGAAGACAGGATGATCCCAATCTAAACTGGGTTTCTGGCTGGAACCTCAAGAAGACTGGGAAGGAAGGAGAGCATAACATTTCAGGCAACACCCCCCCCCCAATATCTTACCGAGAAGAACCCAACATCTGAGTGCTTTAAGGAGAACTTCAACCTACAGAAGGAACAGACAGAGTAATGTGTTGAAATCCATCACACAAGATCTAGCCTAAATGTCAGGCCTGCCCCAGCTCAGGTCCTTAGGAAAGAAAGACCCTCGACTCCATTTAGCTGAAGTGATAGATCTGTTGAGGGTAAAACTGCCCTCTGCAACGGACCAGACAGCGAATAGATACGTTGCTTAGCAAAACACACAGATACTCACAGACTCTGAACGGTTAAAGAAAAATAAACAGTCTTTACTTGTAGTAAAACAAAACAAACTTGGCTTCTCAAAACAAAGATAACACTTCTTCAAATAATCACGGTTCAACACAAAAATAGTTTGCCTACAATTCCAGTTCTCTTCAGTAACACAGACACAGTTCCTTTCAGCAGTTCAACCTTCTAATAGCAGGAGCAGAAGTGAATGAACTTCCTGCCTTCTTTTATGTCTGCTTAGCACAGCCAATTAGTCATCTTGTAGCAGTTAAAGTTACAGAACATAGTTTTCTATATATTACCTACCCAACCGTAGGATAAGCATCCAACAAGATCCGTGATGGCAAACCTATGGCACGCGTGCCACAGGTGGCACGTGTAGCCATATCAGTGGGCACGCGAGCTCAGCTGATTTTCGGGCCTTCTGGGCTCACCAGAAGTAGGGAAACAGGCTGTTTCCTATCTCCGGAGGGCCTCGGGGTGGTGGTGGGGAAGGACTGTTTTTTTCTCTCCCCAGGCTCCAGAGGCTTTCTAGGAGCCTGGGGAGGGCAAAAACAGGGGTGGGGAAGGCGCTTTTTTCTCTCTCACCTGGCTCCAGGGCCTCTCTAGGAGTCTGAGGAGGGCGAAAATGGCCTCTCCCATCCTCCCGGAGGGCCTCCAGAGGCCAAAAATGGCCTGTTTGACAACTTCCAGTCCTAGCGGAAGTTGGCAAATGGGCTGTTTCTGGCATTTGGAGGACCTCGGGGGGGGGAGGCCGTTTTTGCCCTCCCCAGACTCCTAGAGAGGCCCTGGAGCCAGGTGAGAGAGAAAAACGGGCCTAATTGGCCATCGCGTGCCAGGAACGGGGTAGGAGCGGGGGGGGGGGTGTGCGTGTGCGCATGTGTGGGGGCGGGGTGCACAGAATTATGGTTGTGGGCATGCGTGCGCGCGACCCCCCTGGCCTCCCTCCTGGCACGCGATAGCAAAAAGGTTAGCCATCACTGCGATAGATTATTTTACTAAGGTTAAGTGGTTGCAGCGAAAGAAAGGCTAAAGCCTTCTCTGTGGGGGCACCTGCCATCTGGAACGAGCTCCCCCCAGAGATACGGAAGATTCAAGACCTACGCATCTTCCGCCGTGCCCTAAAAACGTTTTCATTCCAACAGGCTGGTCTGGCCTAATTCTCCCTTTTAAATTGGCTTTTAAATTGGTTTTTTTAAAATCTCTTTTAGATAAATTTAGATGTTTTAATCTTTGAACCTAAACCTAAATGATTTAATCTGTTCTAATAGTTTTTAACTTTTATATGTCTTTGTATTTATTTATGGCTGTTCACCGCCCTGAGTCCCTCAGGAGTAGGGCGGTATACAGATATGAAAAATAATAATAATAATAATAATAACTATACTGATATTTTAATATGTAAATTTTAATCTGTTTTTAAATTATTGGGGTGTTTTAATCTGTCTGGGCCAAAATGATTTAATTTGATTTTATCTGGTTTTTTTTTTTTTTAATATAAACTTTATTGTTTAAAAGAAAGAACATTTAAAAAAAAACACGTACAAGTTTCTCACAATTGAGAGACAAATTTACATATACAGTACATAAACGTCACCTATTAACTAATTTCCATTATTCTATATAAATATATATATTATATGTACATATATATAAACGTACAATAAAGTATTCCATATTCTATACCTCTGACAGTGCTGTTTTTTGTTATATTGATTTCTTCTAAATTTCATCTCTAGCCATTTCCTTTCCTCTGGTTTATCCATTGGTACCATCTATTCCATGTTTCATAATATTTAGAGTCTTCCTTATCCTGTAAGGATTATCTGGTTTTTAAATTTTGTGTATTTATGTATTTTATTGCTTGGCTGTTCACCGCCCTGAGTCCTTCGGGAGTAGGGCGGTATACAAATCAAATAAACCTAAACTAAACTAACTAAACTAAATCTGAACATTCCCACGCAAAGGTTACACTGTTTCCCATTCCTTGGCCCTTCTCCCTTGACCGGTACATCAGTGTCCAATTGTACTCCTTGTCCATGCTCCTGGGCATGGCTTGGATGATTGGCGCCAAGCAATGCAGTTTCGCATTCTGTTCTCAGGCCAGAGGTCCTTGAAGGCTGGTATATTGATTCTGGATCGACACCTCCGATTTCCATCAAGGCTGTCACCCCATCCCCACCCCCGCCATTTTTCTTTACACTCCCATTCCCATCTCTGCCAATCTACATTTCATTCCCCCCTTCCTCCCCCCTTGCCTTTTATGACAGGATGCCAGCAAAAGATGGCAGATCTGACATTGAGCCAAGTTAGTGTAGGACAGTGTTTCTCAATCTTGGTGTAGGGGATGACCAGGCTGACCCCAGAGAGGTGCGGTCAAACATGTCATCGGTCTCAAGCCCTTCATGCCCACAAGAGATCTAAGTCCAGTGCTCCTTGAATTCCGTTGACCGCCCGTTTGCTTTGACCGTTTAGCAGTTCAGATTCTTGTAAAAAGCTTTAGCATACAATAAACCTATATATTTATTATATTTATTATATTTATCGCTGGCCCCCACGGAAAGGGCTCACAACTTGGGCGTCCTCCTGGATTCACGGCTGTCTTTAGAAGCGCATATGACAGCCGTGACCGGGAGGATTTTCCATCAGGTCCGCCTGATTCGCCAGTTGCGTCCCTTTCTGGATCGGGACTCCTTACGCACGGTCACTCATGCCTTCGTCACTTCCCGCCTGGACTATTGTAATGCTCTCTACATGGGGCTCCCCTTGAGGAGCACCCGGAGGCTCTAACTGGCGCAGAGTGCGGCCGCGCGGGTGGTTATGGGGGCGACGTGGAGTTTCCATGTAACACCTCTCCTGCGCGAGCTGCACTGGCTCCTGGTGGTCTTCCGGGTGCGCTTCAAGGTTTTGGTTACCACCTTTAGAGCGCTCCATGGCTTAGGGCCTGGTAATTTACGGGACCGCCTGCTGCCGCAAACGGCCTCCCACCGGCCGGTACGCTCCCATAGAGAGGGGCTCCTCCGGGTGCCATCGGCCAAACAATGTCGACTGGCGGCCCCCAGGGGGAGAGCCTTCTCTGTGGGGGCACCCGCTATCTGGAACGAGCTCCCCCCGGAGATACGGAGGATCCCGGATCTACGCACCTTCCACCGCGCTCTCAAGACCTTTTTATTTCACCAGGCTGTTCTGGCCTAACCTCTCCCATTCTCTTTTTAATGTAAATTTTAATGTAAATTTTAATTTGTTATTAACCTGGGGTTTTAAATTTGTCTTGGGCTAAATTGATTTAATTCAATTTTACTTCTGCTCTTAAATTTTTGTATTCTATGTGTTTTATCTTGTGCCTGTTCACCACCCTGAGTCCTTCGGGAGTAGGACGGTATATAAATCAAATAAAATGAAAATGAAAATGAAATGAAATATATTCATTTCCTGATCTGCCGCGCTTGACGTTAGTGGAATGACCCTCCCTGGATGAGAAGTCCTTTGCCAGGGTGCTGAAGCTCAACTTGGAGAGACCCTCGTAGTCAGGATAAGGAGGCAAGCATTACGTCATGACCCTTTTTAGGGACCCCTATGGATGTCACAAGAGTTTGCAACTCAATCTTATAAGCAGTTGCAGGTGGGCCTCGACTTAGAACCACAACTGAGTCCAAAACTTCCATTGTTAAGCAAGATGGTCATTGAGTGGCTTTTTGTCCCATTTTTATGACTTTTCTTGCCACAGTTGTTAAGTGACTTATTTACTCATTTATAAATAAATCACATTATTTATTTACAAATGAATTATTTATTTATAATGATTTAAAGGTAAAACTAAAGGTTCCCCTCGCAGATACGTGCTAGTCGTTCCCGACTCTAGGGGGCGGTGTTCATCTCTGTTTCAAAGCCAAAGAGCCAGCGCTGTCCGAAGACGTCTCCGTGGTCATGTGGCCGGCATGACTCAACGCCAAAGGCGCACGGAACGCTGTTCCCTTCCCACCAAAGGGGGCCCCTATTTTTCTACTTGCATTTTTAACGTGCTTTCGAACTGCTAAGTTGGCAGAAGCTGGGACAAGTCACGGGAGCTCACCCCGTTACGCAGCACTAGGGATTCGAACTGCTGAACTGCCGACCTTTCGATCAACAAGCTCAGCGTCTTAGCCACTGAGCCGCTGCGTCCCCTTGTAATGATTTGGCATATGGCAAAAATGTTAGAAAGCACATCACCATTGCATACTCAATGAGCAAACTATTCACCCCTATTTACAAAGTCAGATTTATATAAATACATGATGGAGATGTGTTCAGAAAGTCTCCGTTAAATGAGCCACTTCAATTGTTACATTAGTGACAGGGTTGTTAAGTGAATCTGGCTTCCCCATTGGTCACAAAAGGGGACAATGTGATCCTGGGACACTGTGACCATAAATATGAGCCAGTTGCTGAGCATCCGAATTTTGATCACTGCAAAATTGATGCTGCAGCGGTCGTAAGTGTGAAAAACAGCCCTAAGTCACTTTTTTCAGTGCCGTTGTAACTTCCAACAGTCACTAAACAAATTTTATAAGTCGAGGACTGCCTGCATTTCCATACTGAGTCAGCGTTAGGTCCTGCCCTGCTGTGACTCACCTGCCAAGCTTCAGGTTCCCAAAGATCCTGGTAGAATTGACAGCAACTTTGGCAGAAACTGGGCTGGTCTAAAATGAGAAAAAACGCAGATCTTTAGCATATGTTTCCATACTGATCAACTTAATGACTGTAATTAAGTCCAGAATTACGGTCGTTGAGTCGTGCCAATCATTAAGCAGATTGTCATATGATCCATTTTACATTTTTTTTTTTTTGTAATGATTGTTGTTACGTGATCCTGGCTACTTTCCTTAGTGACCAGAGGCAGGCCCGCCTGACCAATAACCAGCCAAGACCCAAAATCATCATCATCATCGTTTAATGACCCCATAGTCCCTTGCGGGGTGGAGTCAGGGCAACTGAGTGGAGCTAGAAGAGTGTTTTACTGGCCGGATGCCCTTCCTGTCTCCAGGGCGGAGTTTTGTTCGGCAGATATATTCTCACTGTGCCCAGAGAGAGAAATATCTGCCTCTACCTAGGATCGAACTCACAGCCTCCGGATTGTGAGGCGAGAGCTCCGCCTCTAGGCCACCGCACCACTCCATTCTTAATACAACCCTCTCCTGGATGCCATATCCCTCCTCGTTCCCCATTGGCTGAGGTACTATGAGGTTACACTCTTTCCACCCCTCCTGCATATTTCCTGCTACATAGTAAATCATACATCCCATGTACATTAAAATTAGAAGATTATTTATGCAAGGTGTGTCAGTTAATATTCGTCAGCTAATTAGACATGCTCACTTGCCTGTTTTAAGTTCTGGGCATTATTTATGGCTTCTTAGAACCATCGATTTTTTTCCTGTTTTTCAGTTTTAGCTTTGCCTTTCCTGTTTTCCAATGCAGTTACGCTTTCCAGTTATCCCATTCAGTTAATTTTCCCTGCTTAGCCGTTTCCTCTCATATTTTGCCCCATTTTGCCAACTTTCTTGCCACTGTTACTAAGCGAATCCCTGCAGTTGTCAGGACAATAACACGGTTGTTAAGTGAATCTGACTTCCCCGTTGACTTTTTTTTTTTTTAATTTGATTTATATGCCGCCCTTCTCCGGAGACTCAGGGCGGCTTACAATGCGCTAAGCAATAGCCTTCATTCTTTTGTATATTTATACAAAGTCAGCTTATTGCCCCCACAATCCGGGTCCTCATTTTACCTACCTTAGAAAGGATGGAAGGCTGAGTCAACCTTGAGCCTTGGCGAGATTCGAACCTGCAGTAATTGCAGGCAACTGGTGTTAATCACAGTGCTATCAGTCTGCTGAGCCACCAGCAGACTTGTTTGTCAGAAGGTTGCAAACATGATCCTGGGACACTGCAACTGTCATAAGTACAAGACAGTTGCCGAGTGTCTGGATTTTAGTCACATGACCAATGGGGACACTTCACACTGTGTGAAAAATGGTCATAAGTCCCTTTTCTCTGCGCTGTTATAACATCGAACAATCACTCAATAGTTGTAAATCGAGGATTATCTGTAAATAGACTTTGCAAAATATCTGGATTGTCCACCATGGACCATAACATGGAGAGTTTACTTACCACTCCGATCAGAAAGAGGGGCGCCAGGAAAGAATTTGGGAGAATCGCAAAGGCCTGGATGTCAACCGAAGGGGTCAGCGAGAGGGTTTCGGGGGTGATGCTCAGAGATGGGGCCGAAGAAGGGGAGACCTTCAGCTTCATCGGCATGTTGTGGTAGAGCTTCTTCAGCTGGGGAAGGTAAGGAGAAAGTCACATTTCCAGGGATGGTCCTCTTCTCTGCTTGAAGACCTGCTGTGATGACCCGGGACAAGGCACGGAGGCCACACAGCGAGCTGAGAGTTTAAACTCTCCTTTAATGCTCCGAAATTCCCCCCAAACGCTCCCACGTTCTTGGTAAGTCCCAGAGCAAAGCACGTGCGCACGCAAACACACACGTGGCAGCCTCTGGCTGTGCGCAGTCCAGCAAAGCAAAGGAACAGGGAAATTAGTCCACAAAACAAGGAACAACCAATGAGTCCACGATGTAAGGAAGAAGCAAGCAGTCCTGCAAACTCCAAATGTCTTCAACGGCACAAGCAAAACTCTACAAATTCAGCGTTTGTTCCTGACAAATGCCCCTCCCCACAGCATCTCCTTAAATCTCAGTCCCCAGATGTGCCTTGTGAATAGGAGTGAGGCGCTCTCCTCCCAAATCGTTGGATTGGCCTGCGCTGTTCCCGCCTTCTCTCCACTCTCCATACTCGGGGATCAGGAGAGGGCAGTCCTTGCTCATCACCTGAGCTCCGTTGCTCCTCAGGAACAAGGAAGGATCCATGCATCTTCTCTGTGCTAACAAGCCTGAAATGGTGGTTTGATGCTTCTTAAGATAACCAGGGGCAGGGGGGAGGGGGGAATCCTCGTGCAAAAGGACCCTTTGCTCCAGTGCACAATGGGGGTCGTAACAATTCTGAGGAAGAGGAGAAAGAGAGGAGGAGGAGGAAGAAGAAGAAGAAGAGGAGGAGGAGGAGGAGGAGAGGAGGAGGAGGAGAAGAAGAAGAGGAGGAAGAGGAGGAGGAGGAGGAGGAGGAGGAGAAGAAGAAAAAGAAGAAGAAGAAGAAGAAGAAGAAGAAGAAGAAGAAAGAAGAAGAAGAAGAAGAAGAAGAAGAAGAAGAAGAGAAGAAGAAGAAGAAGAAGAAGAGAGGAGGAGGAGGAGGAGGAGGAGGAGGAGGAGGGAGGAGGAGGAGGAGGAGGAGGAGGAGGAGGAGGAGGAGGAGGAGGAGATGGTGGTGGTGGAAGAGGAGGAGGAGGAGGAGGGGGAGGGGGAGGAGGAGGAGGAGGAGGAGAAGAGGAGGAGGAAGAAGATGAAGAAGAGGAGGAGGTGGTAGAGAAAGAGGCAACATCATCATAAAGGCTGAAGTGAAATGAACCCCAGGGCTTAAAAAAAGATCCCCCATCCGATTTTCCCTTCCGCTGCACTCGCAGCCTGATTCGGGGGTCTTTCTCTGCTTTGAGGATGTCATAATTTGGGACTTCTGCAATGCTCCCCTCCCCCTTCCTGCCTATCCTTAGCCGCTCCCCACGCAACATGCCCCCCACTTCCCTTTTCTTCGGAGCCTGGGGGTAGGGAGGGCGAGATGCTGACCTGCGGGATGAAGGGTTGGAAGGAGGAGGTGTTCAGCCGGATTTTGATCTCCTGAGGAACCTGCAGGTGGGAAAGACGGTTGGAGGTGAGCAGGTGGGAAAGCAGGAAGGGGAGCAGAGAAGGTCTCAACAACCTCTCCAAAAGGCTAAGAAAAGTTTAGCTCCTTTGACCATATCTGGCTCCTGCAGATATCAAATCGCAGGTAGTCCCCGACTTACAACGGTTCGTTTAGGGACCGTTCAAAGTTACAACGACACTGAGAAAAGATGATTTATGACCGTTTTTCATTCTTAAAATCTTTGCAGCATCCCCAGTGTCACGTGTTCAAAAGTCAGATTATTGGTAACTGATTCACGTTTATTTATTTTATTTATTTTTATTTTTATTTGATTTATATGCCGCCCTTCTCCGGAGACTCAGGGCGGCTTACAATGCGTTAAGCAATAGCCTTCATCCTTTTGTATATTTATACAAAGTCAGCTTATTGCCCCCACAAACCGGGTCCTCATTTCACCTACCTTAGAAAGGATGGAAGGCTGAGTCAACCTTGAGCCTGGTAAGATTCGAACCTGCAGAAATTGCAGGCAGCTGTGTTAATTACAGGGTGCATTAAACCACTGTACTACCAAGGCTCCTTTATGACGGTTGCAGCGTCCTGATCCCCTTTTGCGACCTTTTGACAAGCAAAGTCCTTGGGGAAGTTTAACGATCCTGTCACTAATTTAACAACTGAAGCAAGGAAGGTCGTAAAATGGAGCAAAATTCACTTAAAATGTCTCACTTAGCAACAGAAACGTTGGGCTCAGCTGTGGTTGTAAATCGAGGAGAATGAATATTGCCTGGGGTTTAAAGATGGGGGGTTGCAGGTGGCCTCACCATCTCATCCACGACCCAGAAGGTCAGGGATTCTGCTTTGTAGTAGACGTCGCCAGCTGTGTTGAAGAAGTAAGTGGAGATCCCAAACTGGACCATGCGGTCGTGATCCACCGGGAAAGAGAGAGGAGGCGGTGGGAAAGGAGCAGGAGAGCGATGGCCGGTGGAGAAGAATTCACCCTGGTGGCGGGACAGGAAAGAAGTTAGGAAGACACGAAAAGAGGGCAGGGACCGGGCTACATGAGTGGTGGAATCGATCTATTTCGACTCAGCCAATTGGGCACATTGCAAGATCCCGTCAACCAAAGAGAATCGGCTGGCGAGGAGCAGAAGGTGGGATTTTTCGGCAGTGTCCCCAGCTAATCCTCATGGGGATTAGGGTTAGAGAGCCAGCTTGGTCTGGTGATTAAGACACCCGACTAGAAACCAGGAGATGGTGAGACATAGACATGAAAGCTGGCTGGGTGACTTTGAGCCAAAGACCAGGAGACTATGAGTTCTAGTCCTGTCTAGGCATAAAAGCTAGCTGGGTGTCTTTGGACCAATCATAAGGAAATAATGAGTTCTAGTCCTGTCTTAAGCACGAAAGCTGGCTAAGTGATTTTGGGCCAATCACAAGGAGACTGTGAATTCTAGTCCTGCCAATGCAGAAAAGCTAGCTAGGTGACTTTGGGCCAATCACCAGGAGTTGGTGAGTTCTAGTCCCACCTTAAGCATGAAAATTGACTGGGTGATTTTGGTCCAATCACCAGGAGATGATAAATTCACAGTCTCCCGGTGATTGGCTCAAAGTCACCCAGCTGGATTTCCTGCCTAAAACAGCACTAGAATTCACCCTCTCCTGGCGATTGGCTCAAAGTCATCCAGATGGCTTCCATGCCTAACATGGGACTAGAACTCACAGCCTCCCAGTTTCTCGCTTGGTGCCTTAACCATGACATCCACCTGGCACTCGAAGAGGCGAAGTGCAGAAATCTCTTAATAGAAGCAGTGGGTGATCTGGGATCCATGATGTCCTCTCCACCCACCTCAAAGTCAGGAACTTGGTTTCTCCCCATTTTGAAGTGGGAAGCAAAGAAGAACTATAGGGGCAACTCCTAAAATGGCAGTATCCTGTTTTGGTTAAAAGAGGCTGAGAAGTGGGAGGGAAGGAGGGAAGAATGACAGGCAAACTCTGTCATCTGGGAGGCGTCCTTCTGCAGGCCCATCCTCCTCCAAGCTTTCTGCTGAAGCTTACCTTGAGGTCCAGGTCTACACAATCACTTGTCGCAACTGGTGGCCCAACCAGAGAATAATCAATGTTTGATGTGTGGTCGATATTGGCGGTAACTGGGGAGAAAGACAACGTAGGGATGACATCAAGGAACTTGGTCCCTTCTGTAGGATAGCCTCAAGGATGATGGAGAACCATACAATCTTAGAATCCTAAGGCTGGAAGGGACCTTGGAGGTCTTCAAGTCCAAACCCCTGTCCAGAGTAGGAGACCCTGTACCATTCCAGACAAATGGTTGGCCAATATCTTCTTGAAAACCTCCAGTGATGGAGCATCCACAACTTCTGGAGGCAAGTTGTTCCACTGGTTAATTGTTCTCACTGTCAGGAAGTTTCTCCTTAGTTCTAGGTTGCTTCTCTCCTTGATTAGTTTCCATCTCTTATTTCTTGTTGTGCCTTCAGGTGCTGTGGAGAGTAATTTGACCCCCTCTTCTCTGTTAGAGCTCCTCAATACTGGAAGATTACCATATCACGCATAGTCCTTCTCTTCATTAGACTAGACATATCTAGGTCCATCAATCGTTCATAGTATGTCCATGGGGAGTCTCAGTTATCCAGGTCATGGTTGTCCCAAAGGTGTTTTTTCAAGGCAACTGGACTTTCTAGTTTTTCTTCTTTGAAGACGTTTCGCTTCTCATCCAAGAAGCGAAAGCTGAAGAAGCTTCTTGGATGAGAAGCGAAACGTCTTTAAAGAAGAAAAACCAGAAAGCACAGTTGCCTCTTGAAAAAGCATCTTTGGGACATCCATAGTATGGTTTAGCCTTCAGACTCAGATGGCAGGACAAGAAGTAACAGACGGAAACTCATCAAGGAGAGAACCAATATAGAAATAAGGAGGAATTTCTTGACAGTGAAAACAATTAACCAGTGGAACTCCTTGCCTCCAGAACTTGTGGGTTCTCCATCACTGGAGGTTTCTAAGAAGAGATTGGACAGTCATTTGTTCGGGGTGGTATAGAACAGGAGATTAGACTAGAAGACCTCCAAGGTCCCTTCCAACTCTGTTTTTCTATAATAAGGGATCCAATAATAGGACAAAAGAGTGAGCAGAAGCTGTAGACCAGTTAGGCAGAAACACTGAGATGCAGACAAAGCTTGTTGGTTTCCTGATATGATGATCTTCTGAAGGAGAAAGCTTTTGAGGTCCATCAATGCTCCAAGGGTTTTGCTCTTACCTGGCAATGACTGAAGATGGGGCTGCAGTTTGGAGTTAATGGAAGTTCTCACTATCTCACATATCTGGAAAAAAAATGCACAAGGAGACAATCCTTAAGAGAGGAAAAGCAAAATAAAGCAACAACTAACCAGAAAAGATGGTAAATTAGGGCAGGATTGTCTGCAAGCCACCATTTCCTACCATGAAAGGTTGCTGGATGTGACACCTCCTAAATTTGTAGGCCAACCCAAGGAAGGTCTTTGTGTGCTACAACAGAGTTTGGCAAAGACACTCATAACCTCAAAAATAGTCCTCAAAGCTGGCCGCTCAAACAACTCTACTAGGATAAAGCTAGATAAAAACCCTCTGCAAAGATCACTTGAAAAATATGTGGCTTGTTTAGGCAATATAACCAAGGACCATGTGTAAAATGTGGCAACACATTTGGGTTGAGCAACTTGATTGCTCAATGTGAAAAGATCCCTGCAAAGGACTTTCAGCTGCTGATCACTCCCTGAAGAGCAGTTAAGATAAAATAAATAAACCCATTGAACGACAATGAAGAACGGTTGCAAGATTTGGGTATGTCTAATCTAGAGTAAAAACTAGGAGGGAGATTGGTAGCAGTCTTCCAGTATTTGAGGGGCTTCCACAAAGAAGAGGGGAATCTACCTATTCTCCAAAGCACCAGAAAGCAGGACAAGAGACAACGGATGGAAACTGATCAAGGAAAAATACTCCAAATGGGGTCTCAGTTGTATGGTACTATCATTTTTTGTGATCTTGATGCTATCCCTTTCTTGATAAGAGTCCAGATCTGTGTTGGCCTTTTTGGGCAGCTGCAGCACATTGCTGGCTCATGCTCCAGCAGTGGTCCATCAGGACATTTTATTCCCTCTCACAGGTGCTACTGTTCAGCCAGGTGCACCTTTGAATGGTGTTTTTGGGTGAACAGCTTCTAGTTTGGAAAGCTTAGGTCAGGGGTCTCCAAACTTGACAACTTTAAGGCTTGTGGGCTTCAATTCCCAGAACTCTGGGAGTTGAAGTCCACAAGTCTTAAAGTTGCCAAGTTTGGAGACCACTGGCTCAGATGCTTTCTCGTTCTTGCAAATGTCCTTTCTTAGAAGTCAAGCGTGGTGTCGGTGTGAAGGCCCAGCATCCAGAATCTTTACCTTGCTTTCCATGACTGTCTTGAAAGCTGATTCAACCTTGGTTTCGAAGAGGTTATACAGCCACCTGGAAAAGCAAAGGCCACAGCTGAGGTTCATGGTCCATAGCTTGGTGAATTCACCTTCAAAAGCCTCCTTGGCTTCTTCAAGAGTTTAGAAGAGAAGAGAATCCTGTTTCCTTCCTCATCCTTGATTGTTGTTTTAAACATCTGAAGGGGTTCTGTTCACACAGAAGACCCTATGGAGTTGAGGGGCAACTGAATATTTCTAGAACAATGGGATCACGAGAGACATCAATCCTGGACAACAAGACATTTGAAGGTTATGCATAATGTTGTGAGTCAAATGGACCTTTTTAAAAAAAGGTTCACTGTGATCTCCAAAAGGGAATATTTTCCATCCCTCTGTTGGCTTAATAGCTGACATTTACAATGTTTATAAGAGGTACCATCTGAATGACACAAGCTAGAAATAGTTGGAGTGTGGGGTCTTGGACTGCTGGTGAGATATTTTGATCTTTTTGTTTCCTTTTCGGCTTTTTGATCGGCTCTTTTAAACAGTATGTAAATGCTGCTAATCTCTATGTGCCTGTTGATGGCTGATTGGTCTGAGTGCCAGGCTTCCTGGAATTCAGCCATCAACAGGCACATAGAGGTAAACAACATCTACAGATCACTCAAAAGGGGCAATGAGGCAATGAGGGACAATGAGGAAAGGCATAAAGGAATCAAAAAGACCAAAAGATCTCCTCACCCAGAGAAGGAGAGAATAATGCCAAGATTAACACTAGACCAACTGTCCCTAATTAACACTAGCAAACAATCCCCCAATCAAGGAATGACTAACTCAGACAAACAAGGAATGACTAACTCAGACAAACAACAGCCTAATCAAGGAACCATCAAGAACACTCACATTAACAGGGGAAGCCATTTGTCTAAGAGAATAAACCCCATTCACATCTTCCATTGATGAAAAAACCCCACCAAACTCAGAGAGTTCAAACAACCCCACAGTCATCTTCCTCCTCCTCTTCCTCCTCCACTCCGCAAGCCCCACTCCCTTCTAGCACTGATGATGTTCCCTAGATAGGTAATGAAATGTTTGGAAGAAAACAGCCAAGCTCTGAGAACACCAAGGACCCCCCGTCCTGCTCCTGCTCCTCCTTGCCACACCTCACTCCCTTCCAGCACTGATAATGTTATCTAGTAGGGTAATGAAAGATCTTCAAGAAAACCACCAAGCTCAGAGAACACCAAGGACCCTGAGCTACAAATATTCTCTTCTAGTCTTAAATTTTGTCCCTCTTATCTTTGAGGAAAATTATGGGATGAAAGTAACTGTCTACCGAGGCAGGAGAGGGACACCCAAGAAAAGCAGCCTATTCCATGATAGCAGTTTTATGTTGGCTTGAGAACAGCTGCAGGGCACAGCTGTCAAGCAGGAAAAGATCATGTTAGGATATGGTGTAAGTCTAACAAGTTGTCCAGGCAATATATGTGTTCTATAACTTTAAATGTATTCTGTAACTTTAAATGTAAGGCTGAGTAATTGTACTGCTGAGTCATTGTAATGACTAATGACTGCTGACTGAATGCTGACTGCAATTATCATAATTGTACTGTTGAGTCATTGCACTGCTGACTTCACTTATCTTAAGTGGATAATTACTAGTGTAAACTGTATATAAGGAGAAAGCCGAGCTATATTCATTGTTGGACCTGCTCTCATCATTGCTTGACTTGCTGCTTGACTGGAACTGTTGATTGTAACTGTTACTGTCGTGTGTGAAGACGTGGATGGATATGCTACCATCGTTATTTGTTACCAGCGTTGAATTGCTGTTTGTATGGTAAGAAGGTATTCTGTAACTTCGGACTGATTTGAATGACTAAAGACTTGGATTGATTAAAAGACTATGCAACTGTTTTTTCACTACAAAGTAAAAGCTTTGTTAAACCAGTTTGTATGTATTGTATTCATTGCTCTCAGTACCGTTTCTCTGTGCATTTACTCTGCTGGTTGGTAACACAACAATATCCTTAACAGATCAGACTCGCCAGGTCCACATTGGAAAACTGGGTGGAGCCAACTGTTTTTTGTAGACCAATGATAGCAAGGAAGGGGCCATAAAACAGACTCATTTTGCATGCTCTAATGATGGTGTTGGACCAGGACTTCCCTTCTCAACCCTAGAAAATAATTAGCTGATTTTGAGTACGTTTTCGCTGCCGTCGCTCAGATTGTGCTTGTCGGAAAGATTTTGAAGGGGTTGGTGATACATTACCTTAAGTTCCTGAAGAAAAGGCAGACTGGAAATGTAGCACTACGAACAGATAAACCACGGATCCATCACTGGAGGTCTTCAACAAGAGATGACAGCCATTTGTCCAGAATGTTATAGGGCCGTGATGGAGAACCTATGGCAGGCTTGCCACAGCTCACATGCAGAGCCCTCCGAGGGCATGCAAGCCCTTGCCCAGCTCAGCTCCACTGCGCATGTGCGTGCCTCCCGTCAGCCAGCTGATTTTTGGGATGCACACAGGGTGGGGCGTATGCAGGAAACGGGCACACATGCATAGGGGGCTGGGGGGTGGGGGGGCAGCGCCCTCCCCTCCAGCCCATTTTTGGGCCCAGGTGGCTGCATGGAGGCCTACTAGGCACAAAACCTGGATAGCTCTGCAGACAAGGCACTGTAATTTAACTCCAGCTGTCTGCAATTAGTAAGTTCAAATCTTGCCAGGCTCAAGGTTGACTCAGCCTTCCATCCTTTCTAAGGTAGGTAAAATGAGGACTCAGCTTGTGGGGGCAATAAACTGACTTTGTATAAATATACAAAAGAATGAAGGCTATTGCTTAACGCATTGTAAGCCGCCCTGAGTCTTCGGAGAACGACGGCATATAAATCAAATTAAAAAAAAAAAAAACGGGAGTCGAGGGCAGGGGTGGGATTCAGCCGGTTTGGACCAGTTCATGTGAACCAGATGCTAATTTTACATCTGGTTCCCCGAACCTGTAGTTGCAAGGACCCCACCCACTCCACCCCACCCTGCCCCTCCCAGGAGTCTCCACGTGGCCAGTTTTGGATGCCAGGTAAGTGCAGGGCTCGTGCGGAGACTCTGGGAGGACAAAAACCAGGCCTCCCGGAAGTTCCTGAAGTCCAGAAACAGGCCCATTTCTGTTCTCAGGTGGGCCTCCTGAGCCCAGGGGAGGCTGTTTTCACCTTCCCGGAGGCTCAACGAAAGCCTCTGGAGCCTGGGGAAGGCAAAAACGCAGAGAACCGGTTGCTAAAATTTTTGAAACTCACCGCTCGAGCACGCATGCGCAGGGCAGTGAGGCAGGATGGGGGAGTCATGCGCGCATGCGCGGGGGTCATGTGGGAGGTCATGCACGCATGTGTGGGGGGCGTGCATTGCATTATGGGTGCCAGCACACACGCACACTGGTATGTGTGCGTGCACACACTTTTGGCACACGAAGAGAAAAAGGTTAGCCATCACTGGTAGAGGGTCTTCTGCTTGGGTGGGGAAGTTGGACTAGAAGACCTTCAGGTCCCGTCCAACTCTGTTATTCTGTTCTGTTATTCTTTCTATGGCCATGTACATCCTTCCCATCAAGTCCAAAAAAATCTGGAACGCTATAGGATCTTCTGCCATGAGCAGGGGGTTGGACTAGAAGACCTCCACTCCTTTTATTCTATGTTCTAAATAAATAATGTTTAAACCCTACTTCAGATCTTCCACTTCCTTGGGAAGAAGGATGATGCTATTGTGAGGGGTAGATATTCATATGAAGAACCCACTGTGAATATTAACAAAATCAACCTACTCCCATTTGCCAGAAATATCAATGTCGACATTGGAAATGTGGGTGTTGCAATCCAAGGTGGTAACCGTTGGTCTCCCGGTGGCATCGCTCCCCAGCTTCAAGCCCACAGAGATGGAGATGCCGTCAACCTTCAGTTCAAAGGAGCCATCATCCTTCCTGGCAGGAGACACAATGTAACAGAAGCATTCCCAAAAATCTCACTCTCTCGAGAGATGATGAAGCCACCAGGCTAAGTCTGGGCTGAAGCAGATATTCCTACAACTCAGTTCCTCCTTGTGTCGCCTCCTACTGCTCAAACTGATAGTACCACTTTTGACCACAGGGTGTGACCTTGGAGGGCTTCAACAGTCATATAAAGGCCAATATCTATTTATTTGTTAAATTGATATGCCACCCATCTCACTATCCAGAGTGACTATAGGAGGCTTACAATGGCAAAAAGCAAAAGTATAAAAGCATTAAAACTAACAGCAATTCAATAAAGGTAAAAAGCAAGGTGTGTTTTTTGTCTCTCACTCTACCAAACAACTCCTCTAACTCATTCAACTCACTCAACCAACCAACCAACCAAGTCATTCAACCAACTCTACTAACCAACTCACCCAACTCACTTAACCAACCAACAACCAACCAACCCATTCAACTCAACCAACCAACTCATCCAACTCACTTAACTAACCAACTAACCAACTCATCCAACCAACTAATCCACTTATGCAACTCAACCCACCAACCAACTCATTCAACCCACTCTACTAAACAACTCATCCAACTCACTTAACCAACCAACCAACTCATTCAACCCACTCTACTAAACAACTCATCCAACTCACTTAACCAACCAACTAACCAACTCATCCAATCAACTAACTAATCAACTTATGCAACTCACCCACCAACCAACTCATTCAACCCACTCTACTAAACAACTCATCCATCTCGCTTAACCAACCAATCAATCAACTCATTCAACTTACTCAACCAACCAACTCATCCAACTCACTCAACCAACCAACCATCTCATCCAACTCAACCAACTAACCTATTCGTTCAATTCATTCAACCAACCAAAGGCTTTTACCAATATTGAATGAGCCCTCTGGAGAACTGAAGAACTACATCTCAAGATTTCTTCTGGACTTGGTCCCACCTGGACAGGCAAGTCCTTGATCATGTGCTGACTTCATCCCATGCTATACATGAGGCTGATTTTCCAGATGTTGCAGAGGTTCAACTGGTAAATAATTAATTTGCCCAGTTGCCTGGAAGGGGCATTGGGGATCCCAAGCTCATAGAAGCAATGTGTGAGTCTTTCTGAACCAACAGAAAAAGTTTGTGTTCTACTTTCATTTACATAAAGGCAGATAAAATTGTTCTACAGTGTGTAGATTCCTGATACCGGACAATGGCTGCCTGAGCTAAACCACAGGGTTGTGAGGTCCATGTGATGTCCAAGAAGCCAGCCATGGCGGCTCCAGAATGAACTTTCTGTTTTGAGACGGAGTTGCAGTTATTTCTGCCATGAAACAAGAGGGATTAATGGCCTTCTAACACTTAGCCAATTTCAGAAGCAACTACGAAGATATGGAAAGGGAAGGACCAGTGAGACTCACAGCCAACGTTTCTTCAGCTCCCAATGGCCGGTCATTTCAGCCAAAGCATTGCTGATGGAGACCCTGAGGCCCTGGCCCGGCATGGGCTCAATTGTTGAGTGGAACAGCTCGAACCTACGAAAGTTCAGTCTGCAACAAGGATAGAGAAGAGAAAAAGCTTTTGAGTTTAGTGTCTGGGCTCAATTTTGCCCTCAGTATGTCCAAAACCAGGTCCATTAAAGATCCAGTTACAAGCAGACAATTTGCTAAATTTTGTTAGGTGTCAATCAGTGGTGAAATGTAAAATTTGTTACTACCGGTTCTGTGGGTGTGGCTTGGTGGTGGTGGGTAATATGACTGAGTGGGCGTGGCCAACTTTTTTTTTTTTAAAAAAATTAAAACCATTTTTTCTACAACCTCTTCGGCTGAAGAGGTTGTAAAAAAATGCTTTTAAAGCCTCTGACGATCCCAGCTGACTTGCCTGATTGGCAGAGGCTTTTTTTCCTTTTAAAAACATTTTTTCTATAACCTCTTCGGCCAAAGAGGTTGTAGAAAAAATGCTTTTAAAAGCCTCTGATGATCCCAGCTGAGCCATGCGATCATCAGAGGCTTTTTTTTTTACTTTTAAAAGCATTTTTTCAGCCAAAGAGGTTGTAGAAAAATGCTTTTAAAAATTAAAAAAAAGCCTCTGATGATTGCGCGGCTCAGCTGGGCATGGGGGGGGGGCAGGAATTTTTGCTACTGGTTCTCCGAATCCCCCACCTCCATTGCTACCGGATCGGGTGATCCAGTCTGAACCGGGAGCATTTCACCCCTGGTGTCGATGTCAGAATCTCTGTATGCATACAATTCGTTAGATTTATTCTTCAAAACAAAGTGCAAAACCATAAATTGGAGTAATCCATCAAGTTGACCAAGATCAAGAACTTCAAGTTGACCAAGATCAAGAACTTCAAGTTGACCAAGAGGTTTTATTTCTCAAGGAATCTTCTTCAAGGAAGCCCAAGCAGGACTCACTGTGGGGCTCTGGGCTGGGGGATTGCAAGTAGTCTTTGACTTATGACCGCAACTGACCTCAAAAATTCTGTTGTTAAGTGAGTTTGCCCCATTTTATGGCGTTTCTTGCTACAGTTGTTAAGTGAGTCATCGCAGTTGTTAAGTTAGTAACACAGATGTCCCAAAGGCGCTTTTTTCAGGAGGCAACTTTCTTGTTTTTTCTTTGAAGTAGTTTCACTTCCATTTCCAAGAAGCTTCTTCAGCTCTGACTGGATGGTGGCGGATGGAAGGATTTATATTCCTTGCAGACTGTTGGTCATTTGCCTCCTTTCAGAAGGTCGTTGAGGCCACTTGGAGGTTTCTCTGTATCCTCAGGATCACCTGAGTGGTGGAAATGGGTGTGGAGCCTTCTATAGCCTTCTCCAGACCCATTTGCATGAAAACATCTACATAAAACATCCTGCAGCCAAGAAGGCTCCACACCCATTTCCACCACTCAGGTGACCCTGAGGACACAGAGAAACCTCCAAGTGGCCTCAACGGCCTTCTAAAAGGATGCAAATGACCAACAGTCTGCAAGGAATATAAATCCTTCCATCCGCCACCATCCAGTCAGAGCTGAAGAAGCTGTTACCCCATTTGGAAGCTCTGAGAGATTCACCTGGACACCCCAAGTCTTAAAAGAGGAAGTCCAGAAAAGCAGCCTCACCTGTAGAACCTGTAGTTGACATTTCCAATAATTTTCACTCTGTAGGTGCCAGAGAATTCGGGCAGAATGATCGCAGGCAAGTCCTTCCGCAAGGTTGCGACTCCCTCTTGGCATGCTGAAACAAAGCGGACAACTTGTGGGCTGGCTTTTTTTTTTTTACTCCTTTATCACTTCCTCATTCTTTTTTTTTTAAAGATGAAGTGCAAAAAAAAAATTTGTCATATTTGTGAGGTCCTGGGTGCTCTCAGAACTTGGTGGTTTTCTTGCAGATGTTTTATGACCCAACTAGGGAGCACCATCAGTGCTAGAAGGGAGAATTTATCTGCCTTTCACCAGCACTGATGATGTTCTCTTGTTGGGTCATGAAATGCTTGCAAGAAAACAACCAAGCTCAGAGAGCACCAAGGACCCCACAGTCCTCCTCTTCCTCTTCCTCCTCCTCCTCTTCCTCCTCCTCCTCCTCCTCTCCACATCACCCCTCCCTTCCAACATTCATGATGTTCCCTAGTTGGGTCATGAAATATGTGCAAGAAAACAACCAAGCTCAGAGAGCACCAAGGGCCCTACAGTTCTCCTCCTCCTCCTCTTCCTCCTCCTCCTCCTCCTCCTCTCCACATCCCCACCTTGCTTCTATCATTGATGATGTTCCCTAGTTTTATTTATTTATTTATTTATTACTTCGATTTATATGCCGCCCTTCTCCGGAGACTCAGGGCGGCTTACAATGCATTAAGCAATAGCCTTCATACTTTTGTATATACCTGCTTAGTAGGGCTTTCGAGCCCCCCCCAAATGGTGTTCTTTTTTATACAAAGTCAGCTTATTGCCCCCACAATCCGGGTCCTCATTTTACCTACCTCGGAAGGATGGAAGGCTGAGTCCACCTTGAGCCTGGTGAGATTCGAACTTGCAGTAATTGCAGACAGCTAAGTGCTACTTTAACAGCACTTAGTCCACTGCACCACAAGGCTCTTCTTAAAGAAAAACCTTAAAGAAAAGCCTCTTCTTAAAGTTGGATCATGAAACGTCTGCAAGGAAACCACCCTAACCCTAACCCTATCTAAAAACTAAAACGGCAGGACTATCTCAAAAGATACAGGTTTTATCAAGAACAAACCGAAGTGTCTGATGGATGCCTTTCACTCCCCAAACCCCTTTCATGAAACCCTGGGTGGAGGTTAGGGGCTTCAGCCCCCAGATCCAGTCCAAGAAGGGATTGAGGAAAAACTGTTTTAGCCCCAGACAAACAAACCATGTTACTTTGCAGCTCAAGTATGCTTAGCTATGCCCAGTGCGTGCAATAACCCAACTAAGTCATTCTTCAAAGAATTGACGCCACAAACCCGCTGGAAATGTCAGGATTAGGCCAGGAACCCATTTTTTTTTTTAATTAGATTTATATGCCGCCCTTCTCCGGAGACTCAGAGAGGCTTACAATGCGTTAAGCAATAGCCTTCATACTTTTGTATATATTTATACAAAGTCAGCTTATTGCCCCCACAAACTGGGTCCTCATTTTACCCACCTTAGAAAGGATGGAAGGCTGAGTCAACCTTGAGCCTTGGAGAGATTCGAACTTGCAGTAATTGCAGGCAGCTGGTCTTAATAACAGGGTGCTTTAGTCTGCTGCGCTACCAGGGCTCCTATCTTCCTCCTCCCCCCTCCCCCTCCCCCCCCCCCCCTCCTCCTTCCTCCTCCCTCTTCTTTTCTCCTCCTCCTCCTCCTCCTCCTCCTTTTCTTCTTCTTCTTTTTTTTTTAATTTGATTTATATGCCGCCCTTCTCCAGAGACTCAGGGCAGCTTACAGTGCATTAAGCAATAGCCTTCATCCTTTTGTATATTTATACAAAGTCAGCTTATTGCCCCCACAAACTGGATCCTCAATTTACCTACCTTAGAAAGAATGGAAGGCTGAGTCAACCTTGAGCCTTGGCGAGATTCGAACTTACTAATTGCAGACAGCTGGAGTTAAATTACAATGCGTTAGTCTGCTGAGCTATCAAGGCTCTTTTTAATTATTCCGTAAAAACAAGCCACTTTTCCTCAGATTCCATGGGGATTTAGAACACAGAATAGCAGTTGGGAGGGACCTCAGAGGTCTACTAGTCCAACCCCCTGCCCGTGGCCAGAGATCCTACACCATTCCAGACAAATGGCAGCAACAGGAGGGTCACTTTTGGGTCACCCCCTCTGTTCTCCTTGCACCCCACTCACTGTCCGATGGTTGGCTGTGGGGCAGAGCGGGCTCCAGGGTGGAAATAACAGCTGGGTACCTACCATAATCCAATCCTTTCCTGGTGATTCTGCCTGCAAATCCTGGGTTTACGCCCTCCGACGAGGGCACTAAGCAGCCCAGCCAGAACACCAGAAGGCTGACCCTACGCATCTTCACCCCTCCAAACTCCTGGAGACCTTCTGCTCAGACCAGGGTGGGTGTCTGCAGACCCTGCCGCTGGGTGCATCTAGTGCAGAGAAAGAGGAAGCAAAAAATGAGCTTTGAGAAGAAACAGGAAGCTGCCCTCTCGTTCCGGAAAGAGGCTTTTCCCTGCCTGACCCGTTTGCAGCCTAGATTTGGAGTGGGATTTTTCCCCAGAGGCTCTTCAGATGGTGACAATGTCCAGTTGCTGCTTGGACGTTGCAGTCTTGTGACTCACCACAGAGATTATGGCTTTGATGCTCAGGTCACTTGGGTGACGTCGGTTGGATAGAAAGCAAACATCGGAGCATTGTTTAGAATAGAATAGAATAGAATAGAATAGAATAGAATAGAATAGAATAGAATAGAATTCTTTATTGGCCAAGTGTGATTGGACACACAAGGAATTTGTCTTGGTACATACGCTCTCAGTGTACATAAAAAGACAAGATACGTTCGTCAAGAATCATAAGGTACAACACTTAATGATAGTCATAGGGTACAAATAAGAATAGAATAGAATAGAATAGAATAGAATAGAATAGAATAGAATAGAATAGAATAGAATAGAATAGAATAGAATAGAATAGAGCTGGAAGGGACCTTGGAGGTCTTGTAGTCCAACCCCTTGTTTAGGCAGGAAACCCTACACCACTTCAGACAAATGGTTATCCAAAATCTTCTTAAAAGTGTTGGAGCATTCACAACTTCTGGAGGCAAGTTGTTCCACTGGTTAATTGTTCTCACTGTCAGGAAATTTCTCCTTAATTCCAGGTTGCTTCTCTCCTTGATTAGTTTCCATCCATGGCTTCTTGTTCTACGCTCAGGTGCTTTGGAGAATAGCTTGACTCCCTCTTCTTTGGGGCAACCCCTGAGATATTGGAAGACTGCTACCATGTCTCCCCTGGTCCTCTTTTCATTAAACTAGACATACTCAGTTCCTGCAACTGTTCTTCATGTGTTTTAGCCTCCAATCCTCTAATCCTCTTGGTTGCTCTTCTCTGCACTCTCTCTAGAGTCTCCACATCTTTTTTACATCGTGGCCACCAAAACTGGATGCAGGATTCCAAGTGTGGCCTTCCCAAGGCCTTGTAAAGTGGTACTAACACTTCATGTGATCTTGATCATTGTAAAGGGATCATTGTAAAAGATTGCCAGTAAAATATAGAATAACCAAGTTGGAAGGGACCTTGGAGGTCTTCTAATCCAACCCCTTGCTCGAGCAGGAGAACCTTACCATTTCAGCCAAAAGGCTCTCCATTCTTTTTCTTTAAAACTCCAGTGTTGAAGCATCCACAACGTCTGAAGGCAAACCCTTCCACTGGCTAATTCTTCACTGTTAAGAAATTCCTCTTTAGTTCCTAGCAATACTTCACGAGAGGCCTCCACCAATATCCAGAGTTTCATCAATACCAATTTTTCACGAGAGGACCGACATTGAAGATCTCCTTCCTGAAGATCCTGTCTGGATCCCATTAATTTCTTGCTTCTCTGGGACTTTTAAGTACAAAGATGGGAGCACCCATCCAATGAACCATTTTCGTGAAATGGCCTAGCTAGGGTCTCCTGCTTGGGCAGGGGGTTGGTCTAGAAGACCTCCCAGGTCCCTCCCAACACTTCTGTTCTTCTTTTTGGAGAGAGGCCGGGTGGTGTTGCACAAGACCGCCTGACCCAAAGCTTCTGAGAGGGAGAACATTGCAGAAGGATTATCCAAAGCTTAACTTTTCTGCAAGAGGGAATTGCAAAACCTGCTTCCAGCTGACTTGAAGAAAGGGGAAGAAAGTTCATCTCGGATCAAGACTTTGATGATCCTCCTTTTGAGAAAAGGAGGGGAGTCCGTGGGATGCAGAGGAGGGTCAGAGCTGACAGGCCAGCTCAGGGGTCGGCAACCTTAATCACTCAAAAAGCCATTTGGACTCGTTTCCCACAGAAAAGAAAACACCGGGAGCCACAAAAACCCCTTTGACATATAAAATGAAGATAGCACTGCATATATCACTTTTTACCTTTATGCTATGTATTAAAAAAAAGCTATCGTGTGCTGCATTTATGAAATCAATGACCTGCTACAGAGAAAGCACATTTTTATTTCTGCATGCAGTTGTAAAAACACTTTGAACTCCAAAAAAAAAAAAAGATGGGCCGAAAAGCTCAATAAATCATATGCTGGCAGGTGTCACACATTGGTGGTTGTGATGCATATTTTGAGCGACAGGGAGCCGCAGCAGAGGGGTGAAAGAGCCACATGCGGCTCCAGAGCGGTGGGTTGCAAACCCCTGGGCTAGCTAGAAGAAACAGGAAGTCCCAGAGAGCTTCTCCCTGGCAGGAAATGGTTGCTGGCCCAGATTGCAAAGGGGTTCCCCCTTTTTAAAGCTCTTTCACCCAGCTCAGCTCAGCCAAGGAAAAACAAGGCTTTCCTGCTCGTGTGTCTTTGTGTGTGTGTGTGTGTGTGTGTGTGTGTGTGTGAGAGAGAGAGAGAGAGAGAGGGAGAGAGAGCAGTTCTTACCAGCTTTTGATATGTACATCTGCTTGTGTTATCTTGCATAGAGTTTCTCCGCTTGCATTGGCAACCATCCGAAGGGTTGGGAGAAGAAGCTTTTGCAGAACAGGCTAAACTTAGTTAGAAGACTGAATCTGGGGAGTTAATCTGGGGAGTAGCTTGACCTGTTCTGGAAATCCAGGCTCTTTGGTTTACGTTTCACTGTTGTCTAGCAATCCAGCAAACGTGCAACTCAGGGTAAATTTGTTGTGTAAACACAGTTACTAAGTGATCCATCCATCCTTTCCTTTCCTTTCCTTTCCTTTCCTTTCCTTTCCTTTCCTTTCCTTTCCTTTCCTTTCCTTTCCTTTCCTTTCCTTCCAATCTTCCTCTCCCTCTCTCTTTCTTTCTCTTCCACACCCCTCCTTCCTTCTTTTCTTTTTTCTGTCTTTCTTTCTCTTTCTTTCTCTTCCCTCCTTCCTTCCTTTTTTCTCCCTCTCCCTCTCTCTCTTTTTTCTTTCTTTCTTCCTTCCTTCCTCTTTTCTTTCTTTCTCCCTTCCTTCCTTCCTTCCTTCCTTCCTTCTTCTTTCTTTCTTTCTTTCTTTCTTTCTTTCTTTCTTTCTTTCTTTCTTCTTTTCTTTCTTTCCATTTTTCTTCCAAAGCACCCCAAAACAGAGTAGCCCCTATAGGAGGGGCAAAACCCCCCAGCATTTTAGAGATGCAGAGCTTGGCCGTTCGTGAAAGCCATCACGGTTGGACAAAGACCTCACTCTGGCTCAAGAGAAGAGCTCGGTTTAAACTCTGGGGGAAAGGAAAAGGTTTCTCTCTCTTGAGAGAGCCAGCCAGCCTCCCTCCTTCCCTCTCGGCCTCACAGGGACAAAGGTGGCATCTCCTTCAGCAACCGTCTAAACGCTCTTTGTCAGCTGCATTCCTCCAGGGTTCTTGGCTCCTTCGGTTCCCCAAAGACCGGATGTCCAAAGAATGAGGACTGGCTTCCAGGATGACCCAACTCTTCTCCGCTCCGGCCCTCTGCCATGCCAGCTGGGTGCAATCACCAAACTGGAGGTGCAGCTCCCAGACCTGGCATCACTTCTCAGGAAAAACGCAGGGGGAGTGTGGAGGAAGGATCCAATTCCATAGGTCCATGAGGGCGAACCTATGGCATGCGTGCCAGAGGTGGCACGCAGCCCCCTCTCTGATGGCACGCGAGCCATCACCCCAGTTCAGCTCTGCCATGCATGTGCGTGCACCTCCCAGCAAGCCAGCAAGTCTTCGTATCTTTGCCGCGCATGCATGGGGTGTGTGTGAGGGGTGTGTGCATGGGGGGCCACATGCGCATGTGGGGGAGTGTAGGCGGGGGGGCCATGCACACATGTGCAGGGGTGGGGGTGCATGCAGGGATCCATGTGCACATGCGCAGGTGGTGATGGGCTTGTGGGGGGCCACATATGCAAGTGTGGGGACCGTGCACGCATTGCATTTTGGGGGTTCAGGCGTGCACTCGCGCACACTTTGGGCAGTCAGTTCGGAAAAGGTTAGCCATCACTGCCATAGGACCTCTAAGCGTGTTGGGCAAATCTCCTGTCGAACTCGAAATTGACGTACGTCTAGCCATTTTAATTAGCTTCATATTATACTCATTTATTCCTTTTCTTTCTCTCTATTTTGTAAGGTTTTTTTTCCCTCGGGCTCGCCACATTCTTAAGGTTGGGAGGAGGGAATAGATAGTGAGGATTGTTTTGGCTAGGTGACAATCTTTCCTCTGGGAACGGAGGCTGCCCCTGCCGAGAGCTGAAGGTGGAGGTTTTTTGTTTTTTTGCTTTAATTTATATGCCGCCCTTCTCCGGAGACTCAGGGCGGCTTACAAGGCGTTAAACAATAGCCTTCATCCTTTTGTATATTTATACAAAGTCAGCTTATTGCCCCCACAATCCGGGTCCTCAATTTACCTACCTTAGAAAGGATGGAAGGCTGAGTCAACCTTGAGCCTGGTGAGATTCGAACTTACAGTAATTGCAGACAGCTGGTGTTAATCACAATGCTATCAGTCTGCTGAGCCACCAGGCCCAGCAGAGTTTGATTGACATCGTTGGCAATGTGAATTTTGCTTTTACTGGGGAATGTGACTTTTGTGGGATGTTTCTAATTTTCAATATTGTAGGAAGTTGGAAGTCCTAGAAGAATGAAATATTTTAGGAAATATTAAAAAAGGCAGAATATTATATTTCTCTGGTTGAGAAATAGAGAAACATCTTTTAAAGACAAAGCAGCTTCCTGCCTCCCCCACACACACCTTTGTTAATGGGCCATTAAGGCCTCAGCCAAGCTCACTCATTCCCCCCACCTTTGTCAATGGACCATCATTTGCAACACAATAGGACCCATCTAGCATCAGAAACTCCCCACATGACACCTGGGAAGCTTTCATCAGCCAACAAGACTAGCTAAGACCCCCACCCCCTGGGAGTCTGACAACTAATCAGGATACTCTTCCTGTGCCCCAGAAAGTTCAGAGCTCAGAGAGGGCATAAAACTTGAGGACTCACTGCGTCTCGTCCCCTTTTCTGTTCAGGAACTCAAACCATGTAATCCTGTCCACCATTAAACCATCTTTCCAAGCAGTCTCCATGTTTCCAGTGTCTTTTTTCCCCACTTGGAGCTGAACCCAGATGGACATTTCTTCCAACAATATTATGGAGTGTAATTCCGGTTTGCATCAGATCCAAAATTACAACAGTCTTCGCCAATTCGATGCCTACCCAAATAAAAGAAATTTGTTTGGGAAGATGGACTTTGCGTGTTTCTTGTTTGAATGGGTTTCATCCCTTGGAAACCTGACATCTCCATCATTGCAGGTTTTCAAGGAAAAGGATTGGACCACCATTTGTCTGGGATGCTCTAAGGACTCCAGTCTTCGGCAAGAGGTTGGACTAGAGCAGAGGTCTCCAACCTTGGTAACTTTAAGACTTGTGGACTTCAACTCTTTGCTGGCTGAGGAATTCTGGGAGTTGAAATCCACAAGTTTTAAAGTTGCCAAAGTTGGAGACTCCTGGACTAGAAGACTCTGAGGTCCCTTCCAGTCCCATCATCCTATGACTCTATCATTTATTTATCATTTATTTATTAATTCAATTTGTATGCCGCCCCTCTCCACCCTTTCTATAACACTGTGGGTATGGCCAGGGGATAATTCCTTCAATGCAGCCTGTTGGTTGAAACATCTCCTCCCTCTAAAGCCCCTACCAAACCTCGTTTCTTTCATCTTTGGGAAAGAAGGTCTCAAAAAAGCCAAGATAGTAGTAACCCTTTGGAATGAGTTGCCCCCAGAAATTCGTAAAATCTCTGATCACCGTGTATTTCGCTGTGCCCTCAAAACCATGTTGTTCCGCCAGGCTGGGCTATCAATGTAAAGATTTTAATTGGTTTTAAATGGGATTTTAAATTTGGGGTTTTATAAATTGGGCCTATTATTTAATAATTTTAATAATTTTTAAATTTTGTTTGTCTTTGTGTTTTAATTAGGCTGTACACCGCCCTGAGTCCTTCAGGAGAAGGGCGGTATAGAAATAAAATTAATAAATAAACAAACAAAATAAACTTCCCCTTGTTCAAAGCACAAGACTTTGGGGGGGGAGGCAGGGGGGGTTGACTGCACAACTGTAGCAACCGGTTTCATTTTGGGGATACCGCTGCTGGGGTCTGCCTGCCAAAACCCCTAAAGTTTTGGTGAAACATAGAGACGAAGCTTTAACCGGGATATTAAATTCTGAAAGTAATTCACATGTTTGCCCCAACAGTGGAACCTGAATCTGCCGGAGAGCGACTGGAGGGGCTTGCAGCTAGGATTCTGGGGGTCATCTGAAGGATACCAGTTTGGGGAAGGCTGGGGTGAAACAGAAGAGAATATTTTTAAAAAAATTTGATTTATATGCCGCCCTTCTCCAGAGACTCAGGGCGGCTTACAGTGCGTTAAGCAATAGCCTTCATTGTTTTGTATATTTTATACAAAGTCAGCTTATTGCCCCCACAAACTGGGTCCTCATTTCACCTACCTTAGAAAGGATGGAAGGCTGAGTCGACCTTGAGCCTTGGCGACATTTGAACCTGCAGTAATTGCAGGCAGCTGTTCTTAATAACAGGGTGCTTTAGACCACTGTACTACCAAGGCTCTTAATTTGTAGCTCAGGATTGAACTGAGTGTCCTTGGTGGTCTCAGAGCATGGTTATTTTCTTGCAGACACTTCATTATCCAACTGGGGAACATCATCAGTGCTAGAAGGAAGTAGGGTTTGCAGAGGAGGAGTGGGAGGAGGAGTGTGGGGTCCCTGGTGCTCTCTGAGCTTGGTAGTTTTCTCGCAGATGTTTCATTACCCAACTAGGGAACATCATCACTGCTAGAAGGGAGTGGGGAGGAGGAGGAGGAGGAGGAGGTGGTGAAGGAAGAAGAGGACGATTAAGTGGTCTTTGGTGCTGAGCTGGGTTGTTTTCTTGCAGACATTACATTACCCAACTAGGGAACATCATCAGTGCTAGAAGGAAGTTGGGAGGGAGGAGGAGGAGGAGGAGGACGACGACTGTGGGGTCCTTGATCCTCTCTGAGCTTGGCTGTTTTCTTGCAGATGTTTTGTTGGAAGAAATCTCCTTCTAGGTTCTGCTCCAAGTGGGGAAACAGACACTGGAAACATGGAGACTGCTTGGAAAGATGGTTTAATGGTGGACAGGATCACATGGCTTGAGTTCCTGAACAGAAAAAGGGACAGATACAGTAAATCCTCGGGTTTTTATGCTCTCTCTGGCTTTGCATTTCTTGGGGCCCCAAAAGAGTATCCTGATTGGTTGCCAGACTCCCAGGGGGTGGGGGTCTTAGCTAGCCTTGCTGGCTGATGGTCACATGTGCTTCCCAGGTCACATGTGGTGAGTTTCTGCTGCTATTGTGTAGAGGGCTAATCCTATCTTTGTTGGATCTTGGGCAATTCCTACTATGGCTCTGCCTGAAGGAGGTAGATCTTTGTTATGTAGAATAGACTGGCCCAGGCCTTCATGGCCCATTGACCAAGGGTGGGGGCAGGAAGATGGGAGCTGCTTCAAAACATGCTTATCCCAGGGAAATATAATATTCTGCCTTTTTCATATTTCCTAAAATATTTCACTCTTCCAGGAAAGGGGTGGGTGCTAACTTCCTACAGTTTCATTACCCAACTAGGGAACATCCTTCGAGCTATCATGAAACATCTGCAGGAAAGCACCCCAGCTCAGAGACCCCCAAGGGCCCCTCAACCCACTCCACTTACGTGTTTCCTCCCCCTGCTCTTTTCCCACTCTGGACCACCAAAGCCTGGGTCTTCTCTTTTCTCCTTTTCCCTCCCCTTCCTCCCCCGAGGACCCAAACCATGATGGGGAAAAAGCTGCCCTTCATTTTCCATCCTGCTGACGAAGTCCGAGAACGTGCAGCACTTCCAGGACTGTCAGATTGAGCAAAAGCCATGAAGGACTATTGGACTCTGTGAATAGTAACTACAAAGTAAACAGTTGGGCCAGAATTAATGAGTCCCCAATGAATTAATTAAAAAAAAACTGATTGGGTGGGTTGCTTTGAAGTCGTGATTGCCCATCAGTCACAAAGGCACTTCTAGAGGTGGGGGCTGGAGAAACGGAGGCCCCTTCCCCAAAACCTCCACTGGCTCTCTTTTGTCAGGGAAGTTGGAAGGAGGCCCTTCATCCATTGTCTTCCCTCTCTCTCTGCCATCCTGCCCTTGAAGTCTCCATTCAAAGGCCAGTATAATTAATTTCGCTCATCCATCACCGAAACAAAAGAGCTGGGCCGTTAGCATCCATCAAGATTCCCATTATCTGCCCAAACCAGTGAGATGCGGACAGATCTGGCTGGCTGCAGAAGGGAGATATGGCACGGATGGAGAAGGAGGAGGCGGCCCACGTCTCTCTCGAGTAGACTTTGGGGAGAGAAACGGTGAGGTCTCATCGAGTCATTTCTCATATGCGGAGGTCTCCAATACCTGGCCTACCTGGAAGGAAATAGAAGGGAAGGGAAGGGAGTGGAGTGGAAGAGAACTCCCAGAATTCCCTAGCCAACACCCCAGAAGATAGGCTCAAGATCCAGATGGATCTCGACGGACTTGGACACTGGGCCCTATCCAACAAAATGAAGAGAGAAAAGTAAGGTTTTACACTTAGCCACAGGAACAGGTACAGACAAGGTCAAACTTGGCTAATGCCAGCATGTAAGGGGGATCTTGGAGTCCCAGTGGACAATTATTATTATTATTATTATTATTATTATTATTATTATTATTATTATATCATATTTCTATGCCGCCCACTCTCCGAGGACTCTGGGCGGCTTACACCAAAGACAGTATACTATAGCATATTGCTCCCAACAATCTGGGTCCTCATTTTACCCACCTCGGAAGAATGGAAGGCTGAGTCAACCTTGAGCCGGTGAGACTTGATCCGTTGATCTGCTGAACTAGCAGTCAGCTGAAGTAGCTACAGTACTGCACTCTAACCACTGCACCACCTCGGCTCAATCACTTAAATATCAGCCAGGCATGTGCCGCAGCAACCAAAAAAGCCGATGGATGGATGGATGGATGGATGGATGGATGGAAGGAAGGAAGGAAGGAAGGAAGGAAGGAAGGAATAGCCCTTAGACTTATATACCGCTTCACAGTGCTTTTTACAGCTCTCTCTAAGCGGTTTTACAGAGTCAGCCTCTTGCCCCCAACAATCTGGGTCCTCATTTTACCCACCTCGGAAGGACGGAAGGCTGAGTCAACCTTGAGCCTGGTGAGATTTGAACTGTCAAATTGCAGGCAGCCGGCAGGCAGCAGAAGTAGGCTGCAGTACTGCATTCTAATCACTGTGCCACTGTGGCTCTAGGAAGGAAGGAAGGAAGGAAGGAAGGAAGGAAGGAAGGAAGGAAGGAAGGAAGGAAGGAAGGAAGGAAGGAGGAAGGAAGGAAGGAAGGAAAGAGGAAGGAAGGAGAAGGAAGGAAGGAAGGAAGGAAGGAAGGAAGGAGGGAAGGAGGGAGGAAAGAAGGAAGGAAGGAAGGAAGGAAGGGTGGTAGTGCTGGTAGTGGTGGAGGAGGAGGAGCTCTGTTCTAAGCAGTGTTGCTCCACTTGTTAGATGCTCCATCAGTGGAGGTTTCTGGGAAGAGATTGGACAATGTCTGGAATTGTATACAGCAAAGTTCCCCAGTCTTTCTGGGGACCCGTGGGGGAAGGGAGGGGATGGTTCCACATTGAGGGCCCCTGACATAGAGTTTCCTGGCTGAGGAGGGGTTGGACTAGAAGACCTCTAGAGTTCCCTTCCAACCCTATTATTCTATCTTCTTCAGTCTTAAGAAGTCACTTCCCCATTCCTGACCTGAGAACGGAGCCCTGCAAGCCACAATGCTTAAGAACACACAGCAGAGACTAGAGATCCTACCAAAATCCAAGAAGAATAACTGCTGGACAAACACATCTGTGAACCAAGTAGAAATGATTTTTTTCTTTCTTTTTTGGTTAAAAAAAAAAACAATATAAAAAGAATGAGATTATAAACACATGTTCTTTTCTCATAGCGATTCCCACATCTCCCCCCCCCAAAAAACCCCTTTGCATTTCATTCTGCGTTTCTCCCAGGAGTGCAAAGGTTACTGAATTGATAAGATTCTCCCACTTGTTTCTATGCTTCACCCCTGTGAGGTAGGCCAGTCTGAACGTGACCTTAAGACACCTGGTGAGTTTCAGAGCGGTGCATTTTTCCCTCTGAATTCTAGCAATATTTCTGTAGGTGCCATCAGGACTTTATTTTAAAGCACTCTGGAAAACATCTATGGAGATTCTCCGTCATCCAGGCCAAGGTTGCCCCAAAGGTGCCTTTTCAAAAGGGCCTCCTTGATTTTGCCTTGAAGATGTTTCGCTTCTCAAGAATCAAAGAAGCTTCCTGGATGAGAAGCAAAACCAATGCAACTTTTTAAAAAAATGTTAAGAAACTTTGGACTCAAGTCTGCAAGAATGAACAGTGATCCAGCCTCGGTGTATGAGGAGGAGGAGGAGGAGGAGGAGGAGGAGGAGGAGGAGGAGGAGGAAAAGGAGAAGAAGAAGAAGAAAAGGAGAAGAGAAGGAGAAGAAAAGAAGGAGGAGGAGTAGGAGAAGAAGAGGAAGAAGAAGAAGAAAGAAGAAAAGGAGGAGGAGGAGGAGGAGGAGGAGAAAAGGAGAAGAAAAGAAGGAGAAGGAGAAGGAGAAGAAGAGGAAGAAGAAAAGAAGAAGAAAGAGGAGAAGGAGAAGAAAAGGAGAAGAAAAGAAGGAGAAGAAGAAGGAGTAGAAAAGAAGAAGGAGAAGGAGGAGGAGGAGGAGGAGGAGGAGGAGGAGAAGAAGAGGAGGAGAAGGAAGAAGAAGAAGAAGAAGAAGAAGAAGAAGAAGAAGAAGAAGAAGAAAGAAGAAGAAGAAGAAGAAGAAGAAGAAGAAGAAGAAGAAGAAGAAGAAGAAGAAGAAGAAGAAGAAGAAGAAGAAGAAGAGAAGTCGTCATCCATTAAACCATGTCTATGGGCCAGGAAGGAGAAGAAAGAGGAGGATTGTGGGGTCCTTGGTGCTCTCTGAGCTTGGTTGTTTCTTTGCTGATGTTTCATGACCCAACTAAGGAACATCATCAGTGCTAGAAAGGAGTTAGGTTTGCAGAGGGGAAGGAAGGAAGGAAGGAAGGAAGGAAGGAAGGAAGGAAGGAAGGAAGGAAGGAAGGGTGGAGGAGGAGGAGGAGGAGGAGGACTGTGAGGTCCTTGATCCTCTCTGAGCTGGGTTGTTTTCTTGCAGACGTTTGATTACCTGACAAGGTATCATCATCAATGCTAGATGGGAGTGAGGTTTGCTCTATTTATATACACTAGTGGCTTGCCCTGTCAGAGTGAAGAAACAGAATTGGGCTTTGGGCGAAAATCCAGCTGGGATACAAAAGCACCCAAACGACCAGGAATGTTTTCAGCACCAGATCGGTTGGCCAGGAGAAGACCTAGAGATAATCCAGAGCTCCAACACCTCAAGTCTCTGGTTTCACCGGACTTGAGCCGCTGCTTGGACTGTGGTTCTCCAAGTAGAGGATCCCCAGGCCCTTCTCCTGAGCCCCACCTCCTCGCAGGCCCTGCAGTTCCATGGACCACGTGCTACTGGAGTCCACGGCATCTTCAGATGAGTTCTGAGAATCGGCGTCTTCTGAAGAAAAACTCCCGTGTCTGGAGAGCTGGAAGTACTGGGCTCTCTCTCGCTTCTGGGGGCGTGGTGGACCTCTCACCAACAGAGGGGCAGAGGAGTGGCCGGTGGGTGGCAGAGTCTCCCCAGTTCCTGGCATTGGCTCTGCTTTGGGAGAAGAGGCAGAAGAACGACACAACGGAGAAGAATCCCAGGAGGTCCTCTGAGGTCTTCCAGAGGGCTCCTTGCCCAGAACCTGATGGTCAAACCCACCAAATTCCAAGATGGCCCCTGGAGAAGTTTCCTTGTTGCCTCTTACACCCATGTCTGAGCTGATGCACAAGGACTCCTTGTGAGAGGAAGGGTCAACACCATCAATTCTGTCAACGGTTTCTTTGGAGAACGGCTCCAGATTCTTGGTGGTCTCCAATACCTCACCACCATTGAGGACATCAACTGGGATTGACGAAGATGAGTTAGGAGCTGAAGGACCTCTCTCTTCCCCACAGCCTCCTGCAGTGATTCCCTTGGCCTCCTTGAAGTTGATCAGAAGGTCTTCCAGAATTCCCTTGGCTTCTTGGCTTCGTTCCAAGGCATCACTCCAGATCAAGCGACCCTTCTCACTGTGCATGCTGGAAGCTTGGAGCTTCATCTGCTGGAACTTCTCCTCTGAAAAGTCCTCGGACATTCGCCGGAGAGCATCTTTGGTGTCTTGCTGGACCTCCAGGGTGTTGGGTTCCTTCTCCCTGGCCTTCCACTGGGCCAGATGTTCCTTGCAGTCCAGGTGAAATGCCGTGACCTTGAAAAGACAAGAGATCAACATTCGTTACTGACTCCATCAAAGACTTCTTTCTTGGTTTCCACACTATGTCAACAATAAGAGTATTTTTCTTGACAGTTAAGGAGGAGAAGTTTCTTGACAGTTAAAATTAATCAGTGGAAGCCTTCAGAAGTTGTGGGTGGAGGTTTCAAGAAGAGATTGGACAGCCATTTGTCCAGAATGGTATTGAGTAAGGATGTCCAAGTTTGGAAATTTTTTGAACTGGAACTCCCAGAATTCCCCAGCCAGCCATGAATAGGGTAGGGTAGGGTAGGGTAGGGTAGGGTAGGACAGCAGAGGAGAGGAGAGGAGAGGAGAGGAGAGGGCTGGAAGGAACCTTGGAGATCTTCTAGTCCAATCCCCTGCTCAAACAGGAGACCCCATGCCATTTCACACAAATGGTTGTCCAATCTCTTCTTTTTTTTTTTTTTAAAAAAGTTTTAAAAAAAATTTTTCCCCCCCTTCCCCCCCCCACCCCCCCATACCCTCCCTAGCCCTCCCCTTTTCCCCCCCAGGACTTCCACAATATAAAATCGTAATCGAAAAATACATTTTATAAAACTTAAACCCCTCCACCCCCTATATACTATTTATACCTTCATAAAACTCTATTAATTTGTCCCTACATAATACATTCATTCAGCTAAAAGCTATCTGATATTTCTTAGTTTGATATTTATTCTGCACATAATCTATCCACTTTTTCCACTCCCATACATAAGTCTCTTGAGTTCGGTCTTTTAAATATGCTGAAATCTTCGCCATCTCCGCAAAACTAGCCATCTTCAAAGTCCATTCTTCAATAGTGGGCATAGCTTCATTTTTCCAATATTGACCTATCAGTAATCTCGCTGCTGTCACCATATACAATATCAACTTTGTTTCGCCCAATGTAAAACCCTCAACTATACCCAATAAAAACAATTGTGGAGAAAACTGAAGTTTTTTCTTCAAAACATTTTGCATAACCCACCAAATTTTTATCCAAAAAGCCTTCACTTTCTTACAAGTCCACCAAGTATGGTAATATGTGGCATCTAAGCAATCCCAATCTCTTCTTAAAAGTCTCCAGTGTTGGACGTCTATGGAGATTTTCAGTCATATAGGTCATGGTTGTCCCAAAAGTGCTTTTTCAAGAGGCAGCTGAAGAAACTTCTTAGATGAGAAGCAAAACATCTTCAAAGAAAAACCAAAAAGTCCAGCTGCCTCTTGAAAAAGCACCTTTGGGACTCCCAACAACTTCTGAAGATAAGGCGTTCCACTGATTAATTGTTCTCTCTGTCATGAAATTCCTCCTTAATTCCAGGTTGCTTCTCTCCTTGATGAGTTTCCACCCATTGCTTCTTGTCCTGCCTTCTGGTGCCTTGGCAAATAGCTTGACCCCCTCTTCTCTGTGGCAGCCGCTCAAGTGCTGGAAGAAAGAGCCTTCTCTTTCTTAGGCTAGACATGTCTAATTGTTTTAGCCGTTCATAACCATTCTTGACTGTTCTTCCACTGTATGAAGGCCGTTTCTGAGCTCACCTTGTCACAGAATCTGTAGAGGTCCAGGAAAGATTCCAGCTCTGCTCCTTTCATCTCCATGTCCATGTAGAACATGGTCAGCTTAGCTTGGAAAGCCCCCTTGGCTGCCTCAAAGGCGACCATCTCAGGAAACTTGAACCCTTGGATCTTGACGGCTTCCTTGGATAAAGAGAGGCCCCGGTTGTAGTGAACCTGTGGCAGAAAGAAGACAACTCATGGTTAGCCATCTACAACAGACATGATTAGGGAACTGGAGACCAAAACATATGAAGACAAGCTGTAGTAATTGGGTATGTCTAATCTAATGAAGAAAGGCTGAGAGCCAAAGAATGGAGGCCTTTGAACTCTGGGGCTGGAGAAGACTCCTGTGAGTCCCTTGGACTGCAAGGAGATCCAACTGGTCAGTCCTAGAGGAGATCATCCCTGACCGCTCTTTAGAAGGTCAGATCCTGAAGACGAAACTCAAATATTTTGGCCACTTAATGAGAAGGAAGGACTCCCTGGAGAAGAGCCGAATGTTGGGAACGATGGAGGGCAAAAGAAGAAGGGGACGGCAGAGAACGAGGTGGCTGGATGAAGTCACTGAAGCAGTCAGCCTGAGCTTAAATGGACTCCACAGGATGGTAGAGGACAGGAAGGCCTGGAGGAACATTGTCCATGGGGTTGCGATGGGTTGGACACGACTTCGCAACTAACAACAAAGTCTAATGAAGAGAAGGACTATGGGACAAATGATAGCAGCCTTCCAATATTTGAGGGGCTGCCCCAAAGAAGAGGGGGTCAACCTATTCTCCAAAGCACCAGAAGGCAGGAGAAGAAGCAACAGATGGAAACTCATCAAGGAGAGAAGCTAGCATATTGCATCCAGATTTGGTCATTACATTATAAAAAAGACGCTGAGACTCTAGAAAAAGTGCAGAGAAGAGCAACAAAGATGATGAGGGGACTGGAAGCTAAAACATACGATGAACGGTTGCAGGAACTGGGCCTGGCTGGTCTAGTGAAGAGAAGGACCAGGGGAGACAGGAGAGCATCTTCCAATATTTGAGAGGCTGCCACAGAGAAGGGGGGGAGTTAAGCTATTTTCCAAAGCACCCGAAGGCCAGACAGGGAATAATGGATGGAAACTGACCAAGGAGAGATTCAACTTAGAAATAAGGAGGAATTTCCTGACACTGAGAACAATCAACCCATGGAACAGAAGTTGCCTTCGGAAGTTGTGGGAGCTTCATCCCTGGAGGCTTTCAAGAAGAGACTGGACTGCCATTTGTCAGCAATTGTGTAGGATCTCCTGCTTGGGCAGGGGGTTGGACTAGATGACCTACAAAGTCCCTTCTAACTCTGTTAATCTATCTATATAAACAAAGGTCTCCTGGCTGATTTGTGGGTTGGTCTAGAAGACCTCCAAGCTCCCTTTTCTCTCTATTATTCTGTTAACTTCGTTTTGTTATACCCAGCGACCAAAAAGACCCATGACCCACAAACAAAACGCCCATATCTAGAGGATCCCAGGAGATCCTTGCAGGGGGAGCATTGATTTTAAGTGATGCTAAAGATGGTTCCCAGGAACTCCTGGAGAAATAATGCTGAGCTATTAATCTTTGGTTCAATGTTCAACCAGACTCTCCTAAATTAAGAAGTCTGACAGAAGAAGATATTTAACAGATGAACAGAGTTGGAAGGGACCTTGTAGGTCATCTAGTCCAACCCCCTGCCCAAGCAGGAGACCCTACACCATTTCTGACAAATGGCAGTCCAGTCTCTTCTTGAAAGCCTCCAGGGATGAAGCTCCCACAACTTCTGAAGGCAACTTCTGTTCCATGGGTTGATTGTTCTCAGTGTCAGGAAATTCCTCCTTATTTCCAGGTTGAATCTCTCCTTGGTCAGTTTTCATCCATTATTCTACATCTGGCCCTCAAAGGTGCTTTGGAGAATAGCTTGACCCCTTCCTCCTCTCTGTGGCAGCCTCTCAAATATTGGAAGATGCTCTCCTGTCTCCCCTGATCCTTCTCTTCACTAGACCAGCCAGGCCCAGTTATATGTAGCTCAGGGTTGGACTGTGGGGTCCTTGGCGGGGTTTTTTTACAGATGTTTCTGCAAAAACGGTTAAAACTCCCTTTTTAACTTACTATTTATATCTTTTATGTACCCTGAGAGCTTATGCACCGAAGACAAATTCCTTGTGTGTCCAATCACACTCGCCAATAAAGAATTCTATGTATCTATCCATCCGTCTGTCCATCCAACCATCCATTCATCCAATTTCTCTATCTCATCTATCAATCCCACCCACCCACCCATCCATCCATCCATCCATTTTTTTAAAAAAAATTTGATTTATATGCCGCCCTTCTCCGGAGACGCAGGGTGGCTTACAATGCGTTAAGCAATAGCCTTCATACTTTTGTATATTTATACAAAGTCAGCTTATTGCCCCCATAAACTGGGTCCTCATTTAACCTACCTTAGAAAGGATGGAAGGCTGAGTCAACCTTGAGCCTTGGCGAGATTCGAACCCTGCAGTAATTGCAGGCAGCTGTGTTAATAACAGGGTGCTTAGACCACTGTACTACCAAGGCTCTCATCTATCTATCTACCTACCTACCTACCTATCTATCCCTCCCTATCATTATCTATCCATCCATCCATCGATGTATGTATGTATCTTATCTTTTTCTTGAATGTCTCACTTAGCAAGATAAATTCTGGGCTCAATTGCAGTCGTAAGTCAAGGACTACCTTTATAAGAAGCTGAAGTTAGAAAAATTAAAAGATTTGTAGGCGTGTCAGCCAGATTTGACTTGGAACGAATCTACCTGTCAGGCAGAATTTAGATGAGGGAAGGAACAGAGTCTGCACCCAGTTAGTTCTGGCCAGCAGAACTGAAGCCCTGGAGGAAGAGATAAGAGACTCTGCAGAACAGACCATTTCTTCGAAGCAGGGGAAAAAAAAATATCCCCCAAATTAAAAAGTGACTTTTTAGCATATGCTATCATGTCAGCCAAAGAAAAGGGGGAAATTAAAGCCTCGGGCGAAATGGTTCAGAAGAACTCATTACGGAAATAAAAACGGAAACTGAAAAGTCCAGGTTAAAAAAATGAAGTTAAGATCCAGGGAGTCCTCAACTGCCTTTACTCACCTATGGAGGGTTGCAGTTACAACAACGGAAAAGTTAGAATATACATGTTGGATTTCAGCCGTGTCGGATTTGACCGGCCCTGCCTCCTTCTCTCCATCCTAACTTACCGTGGCTTCTTTGAAAAAGTCCTTAAACTGCCGGTAGGACTCTTCAGTCTTCTCCAGGCTGCCTTCTGCCAATCCCACCAGGCTCAGCTCTGGATCTCCTTCTTCATCAATCCACAAAGTGACCTGCAGGAAGAAGCAACAGAAAAAAAGGACTTGCTTCGAAGGTCAAGTTGAGCCAAGCACACAATGACCTAAGCCAGGTCACTTCACCTGAGGCTCCATTTCTAGGGAACGTGAAGCTCAGCTGGTCCATTCTTAAGTTTCTTGTCATTGGGGGCTTAGTTTGTCCTACCAAAAGGCCAGGAGACTAAACTATTGTTGTGGCCCATCAGCGGCCTGTGCAGCTAGTAGCTGATTCCGACAGCGAGGAGGCTGGTGTGGTGCTGCGCCAGCAGCCTGTGCAGCTGGCGCTCGAGTCGGACAGTGAGGAGGCTGGAGAAGATGCGGTGCCAGAGGCCGGGATTCAGCCAGGGCCTTCAGAACCTCCAGAAGCTCCCTTAAGTGAGGAGGACGAAGAGGAGGAGCCTCTTCTCAATGCACGGGCGCGCAGAGCAGCCAAAAGGCAGGAGTGGCTCCTCAGGAGGCCACTCCCTTAGCTTATTTAAGGAGGAACACTGACTGAGGCAATTTGCAGGGAACAACTTTAGTTCACTCTCTTTGGCGTTTTGATCTTAATTCTCTTTATTAGTTTCCTGCAAATTGCTTCTGGACTTTCTGCCAACCATAGTAAGATTACAATTATTTATTCTTTGGATTCTTGTAGGCTGTTAAGAAAGTTAATTAACAGCCTTTGTTTGAAAAAGACTGATTTAATTTAGTAAACTAAGGTTTATACAGACTTTGTGTGTTCTGCGTTCTTTGGGGTCCGTAGCTGGGGCAGAACAACTCTAGGAAGAACGACTGCAGGGTTTGGGTTTGGCTAGTCTAAAGAAAAGAAGAATTAGGGGTGACATGACAGCTGAATTCCAGTATTTGAGGGGCTGCCCCAAAGAAGACGGGGGTCAAATTATTCTCCAAAGCACCTTCAGTCAGGACAAGAAGCAATAGATGGAAACTAATGAAGGAGAGAAGCAACCTGGAATTGAGGAGAAACTTCCTAACAGGGAGGACAATTAACCAGTGGAACAGCTTGCCACCAGAAGTTGTGGGTGCTCCATCCCTGGAGGTTTTAAAGAGGAGATTGGACAACCATTTGTCTGAAATGGTAGAGGGTCTCCTGTGTGAAGTTTCCGAAAGATGCCCTAATTAATTCATGAGCCATGAGCCAAACTTCAAAAGAAATACAGTCATTTATTAGGAGCACCATTTCCGCAATATTCGGATGCAGTTAGAACTAATTCTACGTAGATTTACGTTCCCCTACGACCCTGTCTCTCCCCTCCTCCCTGGCCATGTCATAAATCACATTCTCCAATTAACCACTTTGGCGGGCTGTGAAACCCAACACCCTCCTTCTGACTGCGGTAAGAAAGCATGTATGGAATGTAGCTTCAGTTAGAGAAATCAATCAGCTTTATCAGTTCTCCGGCTTCCCCACGGACATGGCTGGTCAAAAGGTTGCAAAAGAGGAATCACGTGACCCCAGGAAGCTGCAGCTGTCATAAATACGAGCCAGTTGCCAGGCGTCTGAATTTTGATCAGGGGGATGACAGGGAAGTTGCGACCGTCGCAAGTGTGAAAAACAATCATGTCACTATTTTCAGTGCTGTTGTAACTTCAAATGGTCACTAAATGAGCTGTTGTTAAATTGAGGACTACCCTTATGGATGGAGGAAGATCTCTCCTTGATCAGTTTCCATCCATTGTTCCTTCTCTGGCCTTTGGGTGCTTTGGAAAACAGGTGGACCCCTCTTCTCTGGGGCAGCCCCTCAAATATTGGAAGGCTGCTCTCCTGTCTCCCCTGGTCCTTCTCTTCACTAGACTAGACACCCAGTTCCTGCAACCGTTCATTGTATGTTTCAGCCTCCAGTCCTCTCATCATCCTGGTTGCTCTTCTCTGCGCTCTTTCCAGAGTCTCAACATCTCTTTTATAATGTGGTGACTTACTCCTTGGCTTGATTTAGGATGTAGAATCACAGAGTTGGAAGAGACCTTGTAGGTCATCTAGACCAACCCCCTGCCCAAGCAGGAGACCCTGCACCATTTCTGACAGATGGCTGTCCAGTCTCTTCTTGAAATCCTACAGGGATGAAGCTCCCACAACTTCCGAAAGCAACTTCTGTTCCATGGGTTGATTGATCTCATTGTCAGAAAGTTCCTCCTCATTTCTAGGTTGAATCTCTCCTTCGTCAGTTTCCATCCATTATTCCTTGTCTGGCCTTCGGGCGCTTTGGAGAATAGCTTGAGCCCCTTCCTCCTCTCTGTGGCAGCCCTCCAAGTATTGGAAGATGCTCTCCTGTCTCCCCTGGTCCTTCTCTTCACTAGACTAGCCATGCCCAGTTCCTGCAACCGTTCCTCGTATGTTTTAGCCTCCAGTCCCCTCATCATCCTGGTTGCTCTTCTCTGCACTCTTTCTAGAGTCTCAGCATCCTTTTTATAGTGTGGGGACCAAAACTGGATGCAGGACTCTAGGTGTGGCCTTACTAAGGCTTTATAGAGTAGTAGTATTTCCCTTGATCTTGATTGAATCCCTCTGTTAATGCAATTTAGGATTGCATTGGCTTTTTTGGCTGCTGCTACACAAACAAAAAAGGATGAAAAGGCTGGAAGGATGAACACAACGGGGCCTAACTAGCATTGGACACAGTTCAGCTGCAGCCCTTCCCTTACCTGGTGAAATTCCTCCTCAAGTTCCCTGATCTTCTTGAGGAACTCCAAGTGTTCCAAGCAACCGTTGGATTTGGTCACCAACGTGTGGACGTCCTCCTCCACCAGGTTGTAGATGGCTAGGGCGCTCTCAAAACTGCGCCTGACAAACACACACACACAAACAAGGAGCATTTCTGGGTCACTCTTGGCCTTGTGGACATTTTTGCTTTTCAAGGTATGTTGGCAACATCTTGAGTTGGTTTTTTTCTCCCCATTTTTTCCTACGGCTTTGCTTAAGGCAGTGTTTCTCAACCTTGGTAGCTTGAAGATGGGTGGACTTCAACTCCCAGAATCCCCCAGCCAGCGCTGTTGGCTGGAGGATTCTGGGAGTTGAAGTCCACCCATCTTCAAGCTACCAAGATTGAGAAACACTGCCTTAAGGATTGTCCACCACGAATTCTTGAAGCATAAAAAAATCAGGCTGACAGGAAGTTTGCTAATGCCATTCCTACCCATCTTCTGCCCACTGGATGATGGGATATTTGCAGTGTGGTGGGCAAGTTAAGATGGGTAAGGGTAGTCCTCAATTTATGGCCGCCGTTGAGCCAAAATTGGCCACTCAAGGTCCCTTGAGTGAAATGGAGAAGGCCAGGAGCCTTGCTAGGGACCATTAAGGGTGTGGATTGATCTCCTCTTCCTCTCTCCCTCCTCCTCCTCTCTTCGCAAAACCTCCCTCCCTTCTAGCACGGATAATGTTACCTAGTTGGGTCCTGAAATGTCTGTAAGAAAACAACTAAGCTGAGAGAGCTCCAAGGACCCCACAGTTCTCCTCCTCCTCCTCCTCCTCCTCCTCTTCCTCCTCCTCCTCCTCCTCTCTACAAACCCCACTCCTAGCACTGATGTTGCTCAGTCATGAAATCTCTGCTAGAAAACAACGAAGCTCACAGACCAGCAAGGACCCCACAATCTTTCTCCTCCACCTCCTCCTCCTCTGCAAACACCGCTCCCTTCTAGCACTGATGATATTACCTAGTTGGCTCATGAAATGTTTGTGAGGAAACCACCAACCCTGTTCCTCCAAGACCCCACAGTCGTTGTTGTCATCCTCCTCCTCCTCCTCCTTGTCTTCCTCCTCCACCACCACCTCCTCCTCCTTTTCAGAACTGCCCCAAGGACTCGGCTTTCCTACCGGACGTCAGGAGTGAAGCCGAGTCGGGCCGCCTCTTTCCGCAGCCTGGCCAGGGTGGCCCCTCCTTCCCTCTGCAAGCTGACCAGGTGGGCATCGCGAAGAACCTCTTGCATGAGCTGCCGGTGCCTGCTGACTTGGCGCTCCACCGCCTGTGGGACAAGCCAACCGGTTAGCCAAGTCCATGGAGGACAGGACGGTTATCTTTCAATCGCTTTGGTCCAGGCAGTCCTTGATTTATGACCGCAATGGACCTCGCCCATTACGGTCATAAATTGTGGTGGCCGTTAAGCAATTCACTCATGTGACTGCCTCGCTAAATGAGCCCCATCCCTGCTCTCCCTGTTGCAGTCATTAAGTGACTGCATGGGTTGTTAAGTGGAGCATGGGGTGCCTAAGGGGGGGGGAGGAAGGACCCCCTGGGAGGGCTATTGCAAGTCCCTTCCCAGCTCACACATAGCCTGTCTGGTCCTCCCCCATCTTCTGAGGCACCCTGGCTCCACTCTCTGCCCAGCTGTCCTTGGGACTGCTTCCCACTTCACTGGGTCCCACATGCCTCCTCTCCAGCAGAAAATAGTATTTGTAGCTCAGGGGGTGAACCGTGGGGTCCTTGGTGCTCCCTGAGCTTGGGGTTTTTCTAGCAGACGTTTCATGACCCAACTAGGGAATAGCATCAGTGCTAGAAGGGAGAGGGGATTGTAGTGGGGGAGAAGAAGGAGGAGGAAGTGGAGGATGGGGTTCTTGGTCTCTCTGAGCTTGATTGTTTTCTTGCAGGGGTTTCATGACCCAACTAGGGAACAGCATCTGGGTAATGAAACATCTGTAAGAAAACCACCAAGCTTAAGAGAGCACCAAGGACCCCACAGTAGTCGTCGTCTTCTTCTTCTTCTTCTTCTTCTTCCTCCTCTTCTCCTCCTCCTCTTCTTCTTCCTCCTCTTCTTCATCTTCTTCCTCCTCTCCCCCTCCTCCTCCTCCTCTTCTTCTTCCTCTTCTCCTCCTCCTCCTCCTCTTCTTCCTCCTCTTCTTCTTCCTCTTCTTCCTCTTCTTCCTCCTCTTCTCCTCTTCTTCTTCCTCCTCCTCCTCTTCTTCATCTTCTCCTCCTCCTCCTCCTCCTCCTCCTCCTCCTCCTCCTCCTCCTCCTTCTCATTCTCCTCCTCCTCCTCTTCTGAATCCCACCCCTTTCTAGCACTGATGATGTTCCCTAGTTGGATCATGAAATGTCTCCAAGAAAAGCACAAAGCTCAGAGAGGATCCCAAGGACCCCCACAGAGACGAATTCCGCCAGGAAAAACAGCAAGCCACAAAGCCTGGCCAAAACCTGGCCTCAAACCGCAACCTCCGGTAGACCCCATCCCATGTCCTTACCTGCAAGGTCTCCAGACCCTCTTCCTTCTCCAGCTCCTGGGTGGTGGACCGTAACAACTCGGAGGCCTTTTTGAGACCGCCGACAAAATGATGGACTTTCTAGGAGAAGGAATCACCAAAAGACATTTTATCACAATGAAGGTTGCAGGTCTACAGATCGGTTGGCTGGTTGCAAGGCGGCATCAATACGGAGGACAGTCAGGGTGACGCAACTGTGTGGTCCCAATTAAAGATGGGTAGAAGGCAGGAGGCCTCTGGGCCATAGACTCTCATGCTCAGAGATGCCAATCTCCAAGCAACTCTTTGCATGTCCTCCTGACACACACTTGCGTCCACCTACACCTGATTTTTTCCACCTGCTATAAGCTCTTCCCCACCAAAGACCTTCAAGCTCCTTCACAGAGCATTCCCCACTGGAGATTGCTTTGGTCTAGTGCAGAGGTCTTCAAACTTGGCAGCTTTAAGACTTGTGGACTTCAACTCCCAGAATTCTCCAGCCAGCTTAGCTGGCTGGAGAATTCTAGAAGTTGAAGTCCACAAGTCTTAAAGCTGCCAAGTTTGAAGACCTCTGGTCTAGTGGTTAAGGCAGGAGGCTAGAAAGTGGGATATGGTGAGTTCTAGTTCTGTCTTAGGTATGAAAACCAGGCTTTGACCCAGTTCCCAGGACATGGTGAGTTGTAGTCCTGACTTAGCCATGAAAACTGACCGGGTGACTTGGAGTTCATTGCAAGGAGACTGTGAGTTCTAGTCCTGCCTTAGGCATGAAAGCCAGCTGAATGACTTTGGGCGAAGCACCAGGAGCACCTTACCAGCTGAATGACAACTGAATCACCAGGAGACTGTGAGTTCTAGTCCTGCCTTAGGCATGAAAGCCGGCTGGGTGACTTTGGGCCAAGCACCAGGAGATGGTGAGTTCTAGTTCCACCTTATGCATCCAAGCCAGCTTTGTGTGAGTCACCAGGAGACTGTGAGTTCTAGTCCTGCCTTAGGTGTGAAAGCAGCTAGGTGACTTTGGGCCGATCACCAGGAGATGACAAGTGTCACTGAGACATGATTGGCTCAGTGACTTCGAGGCAATCACCAGGAGATATCAAGTTTGAGTCCCGCCTTAGGCACGAAAGCTGGCTGGGTGACTGTGGGCCAATCACCAGGAGACAGTGAGTTCTAGTCCCGTTTTAGGCATAAAAGCCAACTGGGTGATTTTGGGAATCACCAGGAAAAGCCAGCTGGGTGACTTGCCAATCCCCAGGAGAGAGCGAGTTCTAGTCCTGCCTTAGACATGAAGGACACTGGATTACTTCGGAGCAGTCACTTTCTCTCTGCCCAGCCTACCTCACAAGGTGGTTGTTGTGGGGAAAATAAGAGGAAGGAAGATATGTTGGATAAATCATCTCCTCTTTTAAATTTAAATTTTAAACATAAATTTTAATCTGTTTAATTATGGGATATTTTAAAATTCAGCCTAAATTATTTAATTCGTTTTAATTTATTTTAAATTTTGTATTTCTGTGTTTTATCTTCTGGCTGTTCACCGCCCCGAGTCCTTCGGGAGAAGGGCGGTATAGAAATTTAATAAAATAAAATAAAATAAAATAAATATTTGCCACCTTGAATTATTTGTAAAAATCATAAAGGCAGGATACAAACAAACTGAGAAATAAATTGTGCCTGAAGGCAAGGAGATCTCCTACCACGTCTGAGCCATGGGACCAGGTGGCTGTGGAATTTTGGGGCCAAAAGCCACGGAAGGGACTAGAGTCTTTTTTTTTCTTAAGTGAGAAGCTCCATGTCAAATCACACAAGGCAATTGAACAGCAGTATCTTCAGGTCAAAAAAGTCAAGATGGCGGCCATGAAGGCGAGATGAAAACTCCACCTGATTTTAATCCGCGTGGCACATCTTGAAAATGAAAACCAAGGTGGAACCTCAATGACACGCATAACAGTTGCCATCTTGACTTTTTGGACCACCCCGCGTGGACAACCCTTGCCGTCGAGACCCAAGGAGCAAGTCTGCCCCCCGAGACCCCTCCCCAAATGGATAAAGGGCGGGGAAAAAGGATACCTGGAAGAACTGCACCCATTCCCCGTGGTTGTAGGGGAAGTGACCATCAAATGCCTGCGTCAGCTGGCTAATGTCCACGTGGCGGATCAAAGCTTTTGGAGATGTCACGGTCTCCACCTGCGGGCAATGAAAAATATGAAAAATGGCCATTAGTGCAGTTGTAACTTCGGGCGGTCACTAAATGAAAAGAAGGACCAGGGATGACATGAGAGCAGTCTTCCAATATCTCAGGGGCTGCCCCAAAGAAGAGGGAGTCAAGCTCTTCTCCAAAACACCTGAAGGCAGGACAAGAAGCAACAGATGGAAACTCGGATGGAGCTGCATCTCCATGGAGGGAAGGATGCCGTGGAGTACCCCAGGGCTCTGTTTTAGGCCCAGTGCTCTTCAACATCTTCATCAATGACTTGGACGAGGGGATAGATGGGGAACTCATCAAATTTGCAGATGACACCAAGCTGGCAGGAATAGCCAACGCTCTGGAAGATAGGCTCAAGATACAGAAGGATCTGGACAGACTTGAACATTGGGCGCTCTCTAACAAAATGAAATTCGACAGTGAAAAAAGCAAAGTTCTACATTTAGGGAAGAAAAACCAAATGCACAGGTACTGTATATGTGGTACCTAGCTCAATAGTAGTAACTGTGAGAGGGATCTTGGAGTCCTAGTGGACAACCATTTAGATATGAGCCAGCCGTGTGCAGCAGCTGCCAAAAAAGCCAACACAGTTCTAGGCTGCATCAACAATCAAGTGTTAATACCACTTTATAAGGCCTTGGTAAGGCCACACTTGGAATTCTGCATCCAGTTTTGGTCACCACGATGTAAAAAAGATGTTGAGACTCTAGAAAGAGTGCAGAGAAGAGCAACCAAGAGGATGAGGGGACTGGAGCATAAAACATATGAAGAACGGTTGCAGGAATTGGATAGGTGTAGTTTGGTGAAAAGAAGGACTAGGGGAGACATGTTAGCAGTCTTCCATTATCTCAGGGGCTGCCCCAAAGAAGAGGGAGTCAAGCTATTCTCCAAAGCACCTGAGCGTAGAACAAGAAGCCATGGGTGGAAACTAATCAAGGAGAGAAGCAACCTGGAATTAAGGAGAAATTTCCTGACAGTGAGGACAATTAACCAGTGGAACAACTTGCCTCCAGAAGTTGTGAACGCTCCAATACTGGATGTTTTTAAGAAGAGAGTGGATAACCATTTGTCTGAACTGGTATACGGTTTGCTGCCTAAGCAGGGGGTTGGACTGGACGATCTCCAAGGTCCCTTCCAACTCTGTTATTCTGTTCTGTTCTAGAGTGTCCTACCCTACTCTACCCTATCCCTATTCCCTATTCTATTCTATTCTGTTCTGTTCTGTCCTGTCCTGTCCTGTTCTATCCTATATCTTATATCCTATCCTATCCTATCCTATCCTATCCTATCCTATCCTATCCTATCTTATATCTTATATCCTATATCTTATATCCTATCCTATCTTATATCTTATAACCTATATCCTATATCTTATATCCTATATCTTATATCTTATATCCTATCCTATATTATATCTTATATCCTATATCCTATATTTTATATCCTATATCTTATATCTTATATCCTATATCTTATATCTTATATCTTATATCCTATATCTTATATCCTATATCCTATATCCTATATCTTATCCTATCCTATATCTTATATCTTAATATCTTATATCTTATATCCTATATCCTATTCTTATCCTATCCTATATCTTATATCTTATATCTTATATCTTATATCTTACATCCTATATCCTATATCTTATATCCTATCCTATATCTTATATCTTATATCCTATCCTATATTATATCTTATATCTTATATCCTATATCCTATATCTTATATTTTATATCCTATATCTTATATCCTATATCTTATATCTTATATCCTATATCCTATATCTTATATCCTATATCCTATATCCTATCCCATCCCATTCCATTCGAATGGTTGTACCTTGAGGTCTACCTGAAATTTATTCATCTTGCAGAATTGGGTCTTGGCTGACAACTCAGACAAATCTTCCAAAGCAGAGCCAATTTACACCTGTTTTCTGAATCCCCTGCATTTCAGGCAAACTGATCCCTTGCACCCCTCCTTTTTCTGAACTGGGCAGGGTGGTGGTGGGTGGGCTTCTGGCTCCTTTTCCCACTTGTCATTCCTCAGGCAGCCCAGAAGGAGCTCCCACCCACCCCATCCCGGGCAAGGGAACCTGTTAATCACGCAGGGCAGCTGCAGTTGATCAAAGCCATTAATATTTCACATTGCATTAATTAAAGCTATCGGCATTAATGAAGGAACAGACCCCTTTCAAGGCTGAATTATTATTTTAATCTCCACGCGCCGAGCTCTGTGATTTGAAGAGGCTGACGTAGCCAGCAGGAGCCAGAAGTCCATTAAGGCTGCTCCAAACCAACAGGGTTGGCGTTAATTAATGGCTGGGGAGAGAATAGAGGCAGGCAGGATCGGAATTCGGTTCCCACCCCGACGTTCCGCTTCCGAGGGAGAATAACAGATTAACTCTCGTTATTCCGTAAGAAAGAATTTTCATGCCAGAATTTTGTCCCACTCAGGCTGTGTAATTGGGGAGGAAGAGTCAAGTTGGGGTGGAGAAGATTTGGGGTACGCTGCCTTTCAAGGATTCTTAATAACAGGATACCAGGACTGGAAGGGACCTTGGAGGTCTTCTAGTCCAGCCTCCTGGTCAGGCAGTAAACCCTATACCATTTCCGACAAATGGCTGTCCAGTCTCTTTTTAAAAATCTCCAGTGTTGGACCATTTACAGCTTCTGAAGGCAAGCTTCCTTCCTTCCTTCCTTTCCTTCCTCCCTCCCTCCCTCCCTCCCTTTGTCCTTCCTTCCTTCCTTCCACCCACCCACCTGTCTCTCTGCCTATCGTGTATATCATCTCTCTCAGAATCCTAGGGCTGGATGGGACCTTGGAGGTCATCTATTCCAACCCCATGCTCAAGCAGGAAACCCTCTACCGTTCAAGACAAATGGCTGTCCAATCTCTTGTTAAAATCCCCCAGCGATGAAACATCCACAACTTCTGGTGGCAAGCTGTTCCACGGGTCAATTGTCCTCACTTAAGAGGAAATGTCTCTTCTCTTAATTCCTGGTTGCTTCTTTCCTTGATTAGTTTCCATCCGTTGCTTCTGGTCCTGCCTGAAGGTGCTTTGCAGAATAGGTCAACCCCCAATTCTTTAAAAACCTTCAGCACCCACAACTTGTCTTGTTCTTGGGAATTCTGGGAGTTGAAAGTCCAGACCTCTACAAGGGGTTTGAAAATAATTGAGTTTATGCTGTTACCTAACTTGGCCCGAAAAACAAGGCACCAAATTCTACCTTTTAATGGGAAAGAGTAATCCGTTTAATTATATTTGATTGGGAAGGGCTATTATCCATTATATGTTAATGAAAATTGAATAAAAAAAGAGAATGCCATTTGACTCCTTAGCCTGTTGGCCAGAGGCCACCAGTGGTCCTGCCGCAGGGGGGAAAAAAACAGTTCAGCCTTAATCTAATGATTTGATTACCTCCAACCTGGTTAGAAATGAGACTGTCACCGTTTTTGAAAAATGGCTTAATTGTTGCTTGTTCAGGTAGAACCTCACGCTCCTCTGACTCCATCCATCATTCTGAACACGGTTTTGAGCGAAAGACAACTTGGTTTCCCATTAATGGCTGCTGTCCTAGGAAATGTACCGCAGTCCTCGAGTTACGACCGTCATGGAGCCTGCCCATGACGGTCGTAAATCCCAACCGTTGTAAAATAGGTCGGTCACGCGACCGACACGGTTTTTTACATTGTGTCTTGCTGCGGTTGTTTAGCAAATGTGGCGGTCGTAAGTGCAAACACTGCGGCCGTTAAGAGGACCCTGCAGTCGTTAAGCAAAGCCATTGGTCGCTCAGGTGCAGTTTTGCCGAAAACCAGCCAAACTTGTCGTACAATGCAGTCATGTGACCGTGGGCAGCTGCAAACGGCTGTATATGTGTGTATAATTATTTGGTAAAAATAAATTTAATAAGCAACAATAACAAGCTTTGCTGAGTGTGGTCACATCATTGTGTCTTGTGGGTCGACCTTCGGAACTTTGGGTCCAGGTAAGTCCCCTTTTTCGGGTCGGTCGTAACTTCAAAAGGTTGCTTAGCAACCAGTCGTAAACCAAGGACCACTTAGGGAAGCTCAGTACCTGTCCATCTGCCAATCTTAGGACAGAGGACTTAATAAGAGCCTTGGTAGTACAGTGGTTTAATGCACCCTGTTATTAACACAGCTGCCTGCAATTTCTGCTGGTTCGAATCTCACCAGGCTCAAGGTTGACTCAGCCTTCCATCCTTTCTAGGGTAGGTAAATTGAGGACCCAGATTGTGGGGGCAATAAGCTGACTTTGTATAAATATACAAAAGTATGAAGGTTATTGCTTAATGCATTGTAAGCCGCCCTGAGTCTCCGGAGAAGGGCGACATATAAATCAAATTAAAATAAATAAATAAATAAAAATAATAAAAAAATAAAGAGTAGGGGTCTCCAACCTTGGCTCTTGGAGATGGGTGGACTTCAACTCCCCAGCCAATGAGACCCAGGCCCAGAAGCGGATGGGCAGAACTTACCTGTAAGCCGAGGAACTTCTCCACCTGAGCGGTGGCCTCCTTCTCTGCCACCAGCAGGAGAACCTGGATGGATCCAGGAAAGGATTTCTGCAAGGAAGTAGAGACACCAGTGACTTCCCGTGGCTTCCCTCCGTGGCTTCCTCTGCTCGCTGTGTGTGTGCGTGCGTGTGTTTTTGTGTGTGTGCAGCCCCTTCCAACCTGAAGCTCTTCTCTTCTCTCCCCCACTCCTCAAATGGTCCCACAGCATCTTCATCTTGGGGGACACGTTGAAGGTGGGAAGGGAAGGGAAGTGGGGGAACATTTCGGTTGCTTCCTGCTTCTTTTGAGGAGTTGCGGTTTACACTAAACTTGGTTTGGGTTCGGCTTTGATGGTTTGTTCTTTTGAACCGGGATCTCTCTGGATTCAAACCAAAAAAAGGCCAAGAGCATCTGCTACGTCTTAACATTTTAAATCGTTTTTTAATTGGGTTACTGATTTTAATTTGGTATTGTATTGTGATTTGTATTGAAATTGTCATTTTGTAAGCCGCCTTAAGTCCCTAGGGAGAAAGGCGGCATATAAATCGCAATAAATAAATAAATAAATAAATAAATAAATAAATAAACAAACAAACAAACAAACAAACAAACAAACATTAAAAATGTAAATCTAGAGTATAGGCAGTCCTTACTTTATGACCGTTTTTTAGTGACCACTCAAAGTTACAACAGCACTGAAAAAGGGGACTCCTATTTATGACGCTTGGCAACTGACTCATATTTATGACGGTTGCAGCGTCTGGGGGCGGGGGGTCACGTGATCCCCTCTTGCAACCTCCTGACAAGCAAAATCGACGGGAAAAGCCAGATTCACTTAACAACCATGTTACTAACCTAACAACCTGGATAGCCTGGTTAGCTCAGCAGACTAAAGCACTGTTATTAACATCAGCTGCCTGCAATTACTGCAGGTTCGAATCTCGCCAGGCTCAAGGTTGACTTAGCCTTCCATCCTTTCTAAGGTAGGTAAATTGAGGACCCAGTTTGTGGGGGCAATAAGCTGACTTTGTATAAATATACAAAAGTATGAAGGCTATTGCTTAACGCATTGTAAGCCACCCTGAGTCTCCGGAGAAGGGCGGCATATAAATCAAATTAAAAAAAAAAAAAACCGCCACAATTCACTTAACCAAGGTGGCAAGAAAAAGTTGTAAAATGGGACAAAACTCACTTCACATGCTTAGGAAGAGAAGTTTTGAGCTCAACGGTGATCCTAAGTCGAGGACTATTTCGGTTAGTTAATGGTTTGAGATATTCTGAGAAAGGTTTAAGGGTTCAGGAAATTGTGTGAACAGAACTTCTGGCCACTTTAAGATGGTTGGAGTTTAAGCCTCAGAATGGCCGGAAGTCCATCCATCTGAAAGTCATCCAGGATGAAAAATCTCCTGCTGTAGAGCAGTGGTGGGATGCTCCCGGTTCGTACCAGTTCGCAAGAACTGGTAGTAAACATTTGTAGTAGTTCGGAGAACCGGTAATAACATTGGCTGGCCATGCCCCCGAACCGGTCCCCAGCCTGATCGCCATTCGCTTACCCTGCCCACCTCATCAGAGACTTTTTTTAAAAAAAAACTTTTAAAAGCATTTTTTCTACAACCTCTTCGGCCGAAAAAATGCTTTTAAAAGTAAAAAAAAAAAAACCTCTGATGATCGTGCGACTCAGCCGGGATGTCAAAGGCTTTTAAAAGCATTTTTTCTACAACCTCTTCAGTCGAAGAGGTTGTAGGAAAAAAAAATGCCTTTAAAAGCCTCTGGCGATCCCAGCTGAGTTGCCTGATCGTCAGAGGCTTTTAAAAGCATTTTTTTCTGCAACCTCGTAAGGTTGTAGAAAAAATGCTTTTAAAAGTAAAAAAAAAAAAATTGGCCACGCCCACCCAGTCACATTACCCCCCACCAAGCCACACCTACAAAATAAGCCACGCCCACAGAACCGGTAGTAAAAAAATTTGGAACCCACCCCTGGGTGCTTGGGTGGGGGGTTGGACTAGATGACCTGCATTCCTACAAGGTCCCTTCCAATTCTGTTATTCTGTTATACAGAAGCTGTGAGAGCTTCATCCCTGGAGACTTTCAAGAAGAGACTGGGCTGCCACCTGTCAGAAATGGTGTAGGGTCTCCTGCTTGGGTGGGGGGTTGGACTAGATGACCTATAAGGTCCCTTCCTTCCAACTCTGTTAATCTGTTTGTTTGTAAGGGGATAGAATCTGAATGGAAAAAAATACCATCCTACTTGGATGTTTTTTTTCCTGGGGAAAGAACGTAGCTGTGCCCCTCTTTTACCAACTACAGGTAATCCTCAAGTTACGACCACAACTGCAGCCGACCGCAACCGTCATAAATACAAACCAGTGGCCAAGCGTCTCAATTTTTGATCACACGACCATGGGGATGCTGCAAAGGTCACAAGTGTGAAACACGGCCATAAGTCGCTTCGCTCAGTGCTGTTGTAACTTCGAATGGTCCCTAAACGAACGGTCGTAAGTCCAGGACTGGCTGCATCAAGAAGGAATCTTGGAATCAACTTCCCGAGGTGAGAAAATCCTCTCTCCCTAACTGGTCTTAAGCAGTACGGATCTCTGCTATGGATCCTGCCCAGTGGTGAAATCCAAATCTTTTTACTACTGGCTCTGTGGGCGTGGCTTGGTGGGCGTGGCAGGGGAAGGATTCTGCAAAATCCCCATTCCCTTCCCACTCCTGGGGAAGGATATTGCAAAATCTCCATTCCCACCCACTCTGGGGCCAGCCAGAGGTGGTATTTGCCGGTTCTCTGAACTACTCAAAGTTTCTGCTACCAGTTCTCCAGAACCTGTCAGAACCTGCTGGATTTCACCCCTGATCCTGCCCACCCATAATTACCTGGAGGGATCCCAGGGCTGTGGGGAGCGTGGGAGAGGGAGCTTCTTTTCTGGCATCAATGAGGATGACCACCGCCTGGTCGTGGGAACGCTTCCTGCATGGGGGAATAAAACAAAGTGACGTAGACTCTCGAGCGGAGACAGACTTCATGGCCATCTCTGTTTCCCTTCTCATCCAAGAAGCTTTTTCAAGGCATACAAACCCTTCCCTTCCCCTCCATCCAGTCAGAGCTGAAGAAGCTTCTGGGATGAGAAGCGAAAGGTCTTCAAAAGAAGAAAAAAACAAGAAAGTCCAGTTGCCTCCTGAAAAAGCACCTTAGGGACAATCATGGCCTGGATGACTGAGAATCTCTACAGACGTTTAGCTACATAATTTGGGATGAACACACTCTGAATGGTGTGGGAGTAGGAATGGATTGTTCTGTCCCCGTCTCACACACGCACACAAACAGACAGCCGGGGGTTAAATAAACTGGCAGACAACCAATTCTTCCGATAAGAAGCTTGGCAGCAACCTAGTAGCTGCTTGCTAGGAACTTTACTCATAAAACAAAATACACACAGTCAAGAATTGTCCAGTTCGTAAAATAAATCCAAGGCTGATAATGTTGTTTCCAAAGATGCAATGTGACTCGATAGTAGTTAGTTTTGTCCGTCACAGAGTCTGAATGGCTACCTCACCCCGTTTTATACCCTGTGGGGTGTGGTCCAGTGACTCAGCCTAATCTCTGGCACGCCTTTTCTTCTGTTGCGCGCGCTTATCTCTGCAACGCTGCCGAGGATCCAGCCAAGACTCATCTCCCTCATTACTGTCCACCTGTGGTTGCGTGGATGTGCTTGGCCCCGGCCCTATCTCTTGCCCTCCGGCGGACACCGAAGGCATTGCCAGAGAGGAAGGTCCTGGAGAGGGAGGCCTTACCAACTCCTCTCCTTCACTCTCTGAGTCCTCTCCTGCCGATGACACAGGCTCAGGTAACGGAGCCACAACATGGATTTCCAGAGGGGAAATTGCAGACTACAGGAATCATTTGCACCACTCAGGTGACCCTGAAGACACAGGTAAACCTCCAAGTGGCCTCAACGACCCTCCAAAAGGATGCAAACGACCAGCTGTCTGCAAGGAATATAAATCCTTCCATTCCCCACCATCCAGTCAGAGCTGAAGAAGCTTCATGGATGAGAAGCAAAACGTCTTCAAAAGAAAAACAAGAACGGGGTCTTCTAGGATGGTTTCCCATCTTCCCACTCTAACCAACAACCTAAGATTTCCTCGTGGTCTCCCATCCTTTTACAGACCAGGAACAAGATTTAGGGTTTTTTTTTAAAGCTAGGCAAAATTGAGCCGATGCTGCCCCCTGCTGTCCAGGAGGTGAACTAAGAGGCTGGTGAACTGGAAGGGAATTTCTGGAGGAGGCAGCAAAAGGGGTGGGGGGGAATTTAGAACTTGGGGAGATGTCTATGGAGTTTCTCCCTCTTCCAGGTCAGGGTTGTCCCAAAGGTGCTTTTTCAAGAGGCAACTGGACTTTCTTGTTTTTTCTTTGAAGACATTTCGCTTCCTATCCAAGAAGCTTTTTCAGTTCTGATTGAACGGTAGAGGATGGAAGGATTTATATTCCTTGCAGACTGTTGGTCGTTCTTTTAGAGAGTTGTTGAGGCCACCTGGAGGTTTATCTGTGTCCTCAGTGTTGAGGGTAAACTGCCCTCTGCAGAGTAGAGCGACGGACCAGACAGCTTTGCAACACAGATACTCTCAGACTCTGAACGTTGTTAGAAAAATAAATAGTCTTTACTTGTTGTAAAACAAACAAACTTGGCTTCTCATAAACAAAGATAACACTTTCAATACAAAACAATCTGTACATTGGGGAAACAAAACAACCACTTCACAAACGCATGGTACAACATAGGAGAACAAACCCATCAGGACAAGATCCAGCAGTCCATTGCCCACCTGTCTTGCCTCCCTCCCATCGTCTCGGCCTCCTTTCCTCTCGACTGGCTTACCTGGCCATGGAGCAAAGGCAGAGTAGAAGCCGTGCCACCTCTTTGGCGGAGAACCCAGGGTCCTGCCAGCCTCCTCCGTTTTGGGGGATTTCAACCAGGGGCCTCCCGAGCTTGTCCACGCTGCCTGAAATTCCAGAAGAAGGCACGACAAACCACGCATGAGTCCAGGGGTCTCCAAACGTGGCCACTTTTAAGAGTTCGTGGACTTCAACTCCCAGAATACCCCAACCACCATTGCGAGTTGAAGTCCACAATTTTAAAGTGGCCACGTTTGGAGACCTTTGCATCAGTTTAAAAAAAAAAAAAGTTAACACCCTACAGAGCCTCCCAGTTTACCAACTGTTGTAAATTTACTCCACTTTGGAAGGGGCAATGTAGCAGGGATGAGATTGAAAGGGTGCATGGTTTGGAAAAATCCTCAGGGAAAATGCTCTCTTGAATTAGAACAATTAATCAGTGGAACTCCTTGCCTCCAGAAGTTGTGGGTGCTTCATCGCTGGACGTTTTTAAGAAGAGACTGGACAGTCACTTGTCTGAAATGGGATAGGGTCTCCTGCTTGAGCAAGGGGTTGGACTAGAAGACCTCCAAGGTCCCATCCAGCCCCTAGGATTTTATGATTCTGAAGAGCACGATCACTGAACTGGTTGTTAAACCGGAAGGATCCCACCACTGAAGCTAAGGATCTACTCCACCCAAATCTTTCACGGATCAACTCTCTGGCCACCAACCCAACTGGACCAGCCGGGAGATTTGGGCAGGGAAACATCTCTCACTCAGATCATCCTGGAGTGTTTTCTACTCAGGGTACCTGGCAGACGGGCAATCCCCGAAGACAAAAGCTCAGAGTTGAGCAGATCCCATGGGACCGACGCGGAGGGACTCGATCCCAGGACAAGCGACTCGCTGATCTGGGTTTCAGTCCTGGAGGGGGTGACACCAACAGCGTCCAGATTCAGGGATCTTGAGAGTTCCCCAAATGCGACTTCAGTCTGACTGGAACCTGGGAGAGAAGGGGACAGAAATGGACATTATATATTCATTTATTTGCTTATTCATTCATTTATTCATTTGTATATTTGCATATTCATTCATTCATTCATATGTGACCCATCTCACGGACAAGCAACTCTGGACAGCTGACAAAGCTCATAAAAACAGAGGGACACAATATTAATACCTTTTATGTTTAAACTAGCTGGACGCCCGTGCTTTGCTACAAAACTATGTGCTCAGGCTTGATAAATTGACTTACAGCCTGAAACTTAATGTAGAATGTGTAACTCCATAGCATCAGAGTGTGTTTATATAATGCAACTGGCAGTTGGAACAGTGGTGGAGGGGGAGTAGAATGTCCCAGCCCGCAGCATCCATTGGTATTCATCTGGCTAGCATCCTGTCAGTGTGTGAGAGAGTTGAGGGGTGTTTGGAAACCCAAACAGTATTTGCTGTGTGAGCAAGAAGGAGACAGGAAGGAGGGTAGGCGTGGCTTAGCTCAAGTGTTCTGTATTAAAGCTGCTTCCTGCTGTGAAAGTGAAACTGAAAGTGAAACTCCTCTCCTCTGCTTGTGTTTTGCATTTGGAACAGATTTCTTTTGAGGTGGGGAAGGGGAATAGATCTCCTTAGCATCAGAGGGCTGTTTGAAAAGTGAAACAGTATTTGCTGTGTGAACAAGAAGGAGACAGGAAGAAGCCTGGCTGTGGCTTAGCTCAAGTGTTCTGTATTAAAGCTGCTTCCTGCTGTGAAAGTAAAACTGAAAGCAAAACTCTTCTCTTCTGCTTGTGATTTGCATTTTGAACAGGTTTTCAGGTGGGGAGGGGGAGTGCAACTCCTTAGCATCAGAGCGTGTTAACAATAATATAGGAAATACTAATGCTCTGATGGTCATTCAATCCTTTCTTAGTGAGTACCTAGAAGCCAAGAGGAAGATATGTGGCAAATTTCAAGTTTGTAGGCTTTACAGTTCTGGAGATTTCGTGATTAATGCATGAGTGGTTTTCACTTTGATAGGTAGGTAGATAGATAGATAGATAGATAGATAGATAGATAGATAGATAGATAGATAGATAGATAGATAGAGTGTTTTTCAGCCTTGGGAACTTGAAGAGGGGTGAACTTCAACTCCCACAATTCCACCCATCTTCAAGTTCCCAAGCCTGAGAAACCAATCTGGCTGGAGAATTCTGGGAGTTGAAGTCCACCTATCTTCAACTTGCTAGGTGTGGCAAACATTGTCTTAGAAAATGCTAGGGAGAATTGGGGTGGGCTGAAACAATGCTTCTTTGGGGGGGAGGCACCAGGTAACACCCCCTCCCCTTCCTGGGGGCCTCCTTGCCCCCAACCCTCAGGACGTTTTGCAAGGCCTCCTATGGTGAAGATGTTAATATTGGCTGTTAGGCGGTTTGAGTTCATTGGTGCCCGTGGCTGCTACTCATCGATTTTATAGTTTTAGGTTCTTCTTATTGGCCATTTAAGTTGTATTTGTTGAGGCTGTAAGACCGGATGGTATAAAGTTCAATGCAATAAACAAAATTATTTGACTAACTGATGCTTTGTTTAATTTAATTTAATTTATTTATTAAATGCTGCCCGTCTCACTATTAGGAACTCTGGGCACCTTGCCATGTTCCAAGGTCCTTGATTTATAACATTTCATTTAGTGTTACGACAACATCGAAAAAATTGGATCATTTTTCACACAACTGTTGCAACATCTCCACTGTCACATGATCAAACTTCAGAGACTTGGCGACTGACTTGTATTTATGACGAGTCGCATCGCCATGTCCCGCCGTGTCATGTGATCCCATTATTAGTGAGCCTGAGTGGCGTAGGAGGCTAATGCCTCCTACTAAGGCAGCATTTAACATCCAGCTGTCTGCAATTACTGCGAGTTCAATTCTCCCCAGGCTCAAGGTTGACTCAGCCTTCCATCCTTTCTAAGGTGGGTAAAATGAGGACCCGGTTTGTGGGGGCAATAAGCTGACTTTGTATAAAAATATACAAAAGTATGAAGGCTATTGCTTAACGCACTGTAAGCCGCCCTGAGTCTCCGGAGAAGGGTGGCATATAAAAATAAAAATAAAAATAAAAAAATAAATAAATAAATAAATAAATAAATAACTAAATAAATAAATAATTATGCGACCTTCTGACAATGAGGAAGCCAGATTCACTTAACTGAACCTACCGCAGGGATTTACTTAATAAACTGTAGTAAGAAAAGGTCATGAAACGAGGCAAAACTCACTTAACGACCGTCTCACTTAACAATGGGAATTTGAAGCTCAATTGCAGCCTTAAGTCAAGGACTGCTTATAAACCAAATTTGATTCCTGACATCTTACCCTTTCCAGCTGCTGGCTTTGCTCTGGCCGCTTTTGGAGAAGAGACCATCAAGGCTTTCTTCCGAGGCCCTTCGGGCCCCTTGCCAGCTTTTTCGGGGGGCCCGGGGCCCTCCCCAGAAGAGGCCGAAGGACGGTGGCCTTTCAGGAAGGAGAATTTACTGCTGACCGCCAGACCTTCGGCTGGAGACTTTGCGAGTTTCGTGACCCCCGACTTGGGACTTTCCTCAGTTTTCCTTTCCTTGTTGGGGTGTTCCGAGAGGTTCGGAGAGATCATCTGGCCTGACCCTTCATCCGGCTGGGCCTCTGTGTCCTCTGAAGAGGACGCTGCTTGGGTCAAATCCATTTCCTCCAATATGGCCGCCATCAGCCCCGAATTGAAACTGATGGGATTCTGGAGAGCCGCCATATAGGAGTCTCGGTAACGGCACCGTGGCTCATGGATCTTGGAGTCCGGACTTAGTTTCCTTCTCAGACAGGGGGTACAGGGACCTTCCTCCAAATCTTGCTCCTTCCCACAATTCCAGGCCTCCCCCTGAGATCCGGCCTCCCCATTGGGCCGAAGAAGCACCTTCTCAGCCGCGGGAAATGCTTCCGGTTGAAGGTGATGAGGGGCCACCTCTGGAGAAGACATCTCAACTTTGGGAGATTCTTCTGAAAACTCCACCAGGTTGACATATTCGCCTTCCAGGTTCTCGCTAATGATGTCGCAGAGGCTGGGCACCACAAAGAGGTTGGACTTCTTCCAGGAGCCTTGGTCCACCTTGATGAGTCCTGGATACTTCCCTTGAGGTGGTTTGGAGACCTGGTCTCCACCGCTGGGGTGGCTTGGAGGCTCAGCATTCAACCTGCAGTGGGTCTCAGGGTGGACCGAGTCCTTCTCCATAAGTTCTGCTTTGGGGAGCTGGACGAACTCCGGGGTAGCTATTTTACTCCAGAGGACGGGGACAATCCCGTTGCCGGTGGCCACCAGGCAGGTGTGCAGGGTTGGCCGTTCCAGATCTCGGTTGATGTCCTCCAACCAAGCTTCGGTGAAGAGCCAAGAGCAAGAGGCATCAGGGATGGAGATCTTCTCAGCGGTGGTCAAGTCCCTGGAGAGACACTTCACCACCAGGCAGGCTGACTGCTCCCCGCAAGGCTCGGCTTGGAGGTAAAAGTCTCCCGGACGGAGCAGTAGGGGGTTCAAGGGGCTGAGATGGACGGTCACCTTCTCGTGGAGACACAAGGGCCAGCCTTCGTGCAGGAAGACACAGCCAGAGTAGGGAGCCTGGGGGGGGGAGAGGGGGAGGCAGAGAAGGAAAAAGAGAAACCATGGAGTGAAACCATTAAAATCTCCGAAACTTTAACTGTTTTTAGCTGTTTTATACTGATGGTGCACTGATGAAGTTACCTAGTGTGGCAGTGAGATGTCTGTAAGCATATAACCAAGTTCAGAGACCACCAAGGACCCCATAGTTCTCCTCCTCCTCCTCCTCCTCCTTCTCTCCGCAAACCTCACTCCTTTCTAGCACTGATGACATTACATAGTTGGGTCATGAAATGTCTTTTTAAAAAACAAGCCAACTAAGAGAACACCAGAGACCCCACAGCCATCCTCCCCCACCGTTCTGCAAACCTGACTCCCTTCCAGCACTGATGGGGAATTCTGGGAGTTGAAGTCCACCCATCTTCAAGTTGCCAAAGTGAAGAAATACTATCCCCTAAGACTAGAAGGCCCTGCCATGAAGTCACCAAGAGTTGTGAAACTTATTATTATTTTTTTGCAATAGTTGTCTGCAGGTGGGAGACTCCACGCTCTGATTTCATTGTACAACTGCAGCCGCTGGGTGAGATCATCCGTGGTTTCGGGGTGAAGTTCCACCAGTACGCTGACGACACCCAGCTGTACTCACCCACCCCGGATCACCCCAACGATGCCCTTGAAGTGATGTCCCGGTGCCTGGAGGCTGTACGGATCTGGATGGGGAGAAACAAACTAAGGCTCAACCCATCCAAGACCGAGTGGCTGTGGTTTCCGACGTCCCGATGTAGTCAGTTGGTGCCATCGCTGACTATTGGGGGCGAGTCACTGGCCCCCACGGAGAGGGCTCGCAACTTGGGCGCCCTCCTGGATTCACGGCTGTCTTTAGAAGAGCACTTGACGGCCGTGACTGGGAGGATTTTTTATCAGGTTCGCCTGATTCGCCAGTTGCGTCCCTTTCTGGATCGGGACTCGTTAAATACGGTCACTCATGCTCTCGTTACTTCACGCCTGGACTACTGCAATGCTCTCTACATGGGGCTCCCCTTGAGGAGCACCCGGAGGCTCCAGCTGGTGCAGAGTGCGGCCGCGCGGGTGGTGATGGGAGCGACATGGCGCTCCCATGTAACACCTCTTCTGCATGAGCTGCACTGGCTCCCGGTGGTCTTCCGAGTGCGCTTCAAGGTTCTGGTTACCACCTTTAGAGCGCTCCATGGCTTAGGACTGGGGTATCTACGAGACCGCCTTCTGCCATCAGTAGCCTCTCACCGCCCAGTACGCTCCCATAGAGAGGGGCTTCTCAGGGTGCCGTCAGCCAAGCAGTGTCGACTGGCGGCCCCCAGGGGGAGAGCCTTCTCTGTGGGGGCACCTACGATCTGGAACGAGCTCCCCCCGGAGATACGGAGGATCCAGGATCTGCGCACGTTTCGTCCTGCTCTCAAAAGTTTTTTATTTCAGCAGGCTGGCCTGGCCTAACTCTCCTCTTTTAAATTTTTAATTCGTTTAATTTTATAAATTGGGTGTTTTAATCTGTGTTTCGGCCAAAATATTTAATAATTTTAAGGGACTTTTAATGTTTGTATTATCTGTATTTTATCTTGGCTGTTCACCGCCCTGAGTCCTCCGGGAGTAGGGCGGTATAGAAATTTGATGAATAAATAAATAAATAAACAATCCCACCATTTGCATGAAGTCACCATGCTGAGCGTGCCTTTGCTGGGGCTTGCTCTGGACACCTGTGGACGCTGCACTGAAGCCCAACATCCCAGAGTTACCAATTACATGGAGAGGGAGAGAGAGAAAGAGAGAGAGAAAGAGAAAGAGAACAAGAGAGAAAGAATGAAAGACAGAATGAAAGAGAGAGAGGGAGGGAGGGAGGGAGAGAATGAGAGAGAGAGAAAGAATGAGAGAGAAAGAATGAAAGAGAGAAAGAATGAGAGAGAGAATGAGAGAGAGAGAAAGAATGAGAGATAGAAAGAGAGAGAGGGAGGGAGAGAATGAGAGAGAGACACAGAGAGAGAGAGAATGGGAGAGAGAGAATGAGAGAGAGAGTGAGACAGAGAAAGAGAAAGAATGAGAGAGAGAGAATGAGAGAAATGAGAGAGAATGAAAAAGAATTATTTAAAAAAAGAATGAGAGAGAGAGAAAAAGAGAAAGAAAGAGAAAGAATGAAAGAGAAAAAATGAGAGAGAGAGAATGAGAGAGAAAGAGAATGAGAGAGAAAGAGAGAGAGAGAGACACACACACACGCAAACACAGAGGGAGGGAGGCAGGGAGGGAGGGAGAGAATGGGAGGGAGGGAAAGAGAATGAGAGAGAGGAAAAAAAAGAGAGACACACACACACACACACACCAGAGCTGGGGATTTTCCTGCTGTACTTACGCAGGCAGCTTGTCGGATGTGCTCCAAGAGGCGCTTCAGAGGGATGAGGAAGTCCAGGAGGCAGCAGAGCCCATCCCCATGGTACTTGGACTCCAGGACCCGGAAGAGCTGGCTCAGCACCGTGGGAGCCGTGACCTCGAAGGGAGGGAAGAGCCCTGACAAAGTGTTCTGCACAGCGGCATCCAGAGATTGGGGGTCCTGCCATGGGAAAGGAAGGAAGGGAGGCAGAAGGAAAAGGAGAAAGGGAAGGAAGGAAGGAAGGAAGGAAGGAAGGAAGGAAGGAAGGAAGGAAGGGAGCAACAGATATTTTATTATTTAGTAAATTTATCTGTCAGCCTTCTCACTGTCAAGCAATTCTGGATGACTTACAGTGTCATAAAACAATCAAAGCACCAGTAGAAGAGAATATTTGTAGTCCATGGTTGAATTGTTTCTTGCAAGGTGTTTTGTGACCCAACTAGGGAACATCATCAGTCCTAGAAGGGAGATAGAACAAGACCAAACCCCACTCCCTTCTAGCGCTGATGATGTTCCCTAGTTGGGTCATGAAACATCTGCAAAAAAACCCACCAAGCTCAGAGAGCACCAAGAATCCTCCTCCTCCTCCTCTCCACACACCCCACTGCCTTCTACAACTGATGATGTTATTTGTTGGGTCATGAAATGTCTGCAAGTAAACCATCAAGCTCGGAGAGCACCGAGGACCCCACAACCCTCTTCCTCCTCCTCTCTGCAAACCTCACTCCCTTCCTGCACCGATCATGCCACCTATTTGGGTCATGAAACGTCTGTAGAAAAGCAACCAAGTTCACCAAGGACCCCACAATAATTAAAGCGTGATAACCACAAAGCATTAAAATCAGAACACTGGAATGGGGACGAATTGCAAACATTGGTAAGGTTGGAAAAAAAAAACTCGATGGAGCAAATCTGAACCCAGGGCAACCCATAAGATGGGCCACATCCACAAGTACCTGGATCACACCATTTTTTAGACCCAGGCTAGGAGTCCATCCATTCTTTGGGTTGGCCCGGTAAAATTAAATTGGTATTAATTTGCTGCTCAACGTTTACATGTTTTCATTGGTTTCTGTCATTACGGTATTTCTAACATGGTACGATGTCCAGAGTTGCTAATAATGAAATGGGCGGCATGTACATTTAATCAATAAATTACATTAAATCAAACAAAACCATCAGTTAGTCCAATAATTGCAATTTCTGTTGTGTTGGTGTTTTTGGCCCTATCTTTGCCTGAACTGGGGTTGCATCAATGACACCATTGTGGGTGTTTGTGCCAGCTAAAGTTTTAACGTAATTTTGTTTATTGCATTGAACTTTATACCATCCACTTTAACAGCCTCAAAAATACAACTTAAACGGCCGATACGAAGAACCTAAAACTATAAAATCGATGAGCAACAGCCAATGAACTCAAACCGCCTAACAGCCAATATTAAGATCTCCACCATAGGAGACCTTGCAAAATGTTCTAAGGGTTGGGGGGCAAAGGAGGCCCCAAGAAAGGGGGGTGCTACTTAGTGCCCCTCCCCAAAAGGAAGCATTGTCTCTAGCCCCAATCCCAATTCTCCCTAGCATTTTCTAAGACAATGTTTGCCACACCTAGAAACTTGAAGAGGGGTGGACTTCAACTCCCAGAATTCCCCAGCCTGGCCAATGTTTGTCAGCCTTGGGAACTTGAAGATGGGGGGAATTCTGGGAGTTGAAGTCCACCATTTTCAGGTTGCCAAAACTGAGAAATATTGGTCTGGCTGGGGAATTCTGGGAATTGAAGTCCACCCATCTTAGGTTGTTCAACTTGCGAACTACTGCGGTATACTCAGGCTGTCCCTCCCCCCCCCCCAAACGGGTGAAATCCAGGAGGTTCTGGAGAACCGGTAGCGGAAATTTTGAGCAATTTGGAGAACTGGCAAATGCCACCTCTGGCTGGCTCCAGAGTGGGGAGGGAATGGGGATTTTGCAGTATCCTTTTGCCGGAGTGGGGTGGGAATGGAGATTTTGCAGTATCCTTCCCCTGCCACGCCCACCAAGCCACACCATGCCCACCAAGCCATGCCCACAGAACCCGTAGTAAAAAATTTTGAATTTTACCACTGCCCTACATCAGTATGGTCACTGCACTTTTGGGGAGAAGAATAGCGGGCTTCTGTCAACACAGATTCCGGATCCAGCCTCTTGGATGCACCAAGCTCTAATTCTAGGATGGGAGGCCACCAGGCGATCCTTCTGGCTTCTCAAGTAGACCTTTCTCTTGGGTCTACTGCTGCAATTCCTTGAAGGGTGTGTGTGTGTGTGTCAAATCTTAGTCTTTTGCAACTCTCTGCTGCCCCCCCCCAATTAGCCATCTGGAGGTTGGTACCCCTGATCGGGTGGCTCTCAGCCTCCCCAACTGATTGATTTATAACAACAGAATAACAGAGTTGGAAGGGACATTGGAGGTCTTCTAGTCCAACCCCCTGCTCGAGCAGGAGACCCTAGACCATTGTGGACAAACGGCTGTCCAAACCTTTCTTGAAAACCTCAAGGGATGGAGCACCCATAATTTCTGGAGGCCAGCAGTTCCACTTGTTAATTGTCCTCAGTGTCAGGAAATTTCTCCGTTGTTTCTTGTCCTGCCTTCAGGGGCTTTGGAGAATAGGTTGAAACCCACCCCCCTCTTCTTTGGGGCAGCCCCTCCGATATTGAAAAACTGTTATCATGTCCTGGTCCTTCTTTTCCTTAAACTAGACATACCCTCAACCGGTTCTTGGTACGTTTTCGCCTCCACTCCCCTAATCCTCTTGGTTGCTCTTCTCTGCACTTTTTCCAGTGTCTCAACCTCTTTTTTTAATATCGTGGCAACCAAAAATGGATGCAGAATTCCAAATGTGGCCTTCCCGAGGCTTTATAAAGCGGTGCTAACACTTCACACATGATCTTGAATCCTTGGGGTGGGGGGGGCATTGTTGGGAGATCCCCCCCCCTTCTCACGTTATGTCCCAAATGGAGACTTTGTGGCTCAGCAGACTTCATGGGAAGGAAGGAGAGCTTGTCCAACCAGTTTTTCCATCCACCGCCCCCCCTTCCTTTGGTCTGCATGGCTGCAGCTGAAACCCACCCACCGTTTGATAACCGGATGGGACTTTCTTCCCAGGGAAAAAGTCAGGAGGGCCCTATTGGGGAGGGGGGGCATTTATTTATTGGCTTCTTTAACTGCCCGCCTCCCAATGGGGGAGGGGGGGCTCTGGGCAGTGTACAATTTAATCAATATACTACAACATTAATAAGTGAGTAATTTAAGGTTGGAGGAAAAGTGGGGGGGAGGACAAAGGGGGGGGGAGGAAATGAGCCTGGATAGCTCAACAGACTAAAAGCCTGTTATTAACATTCAGCTGCCTGCAATTACTGCAGGTTCGAATCTCGCCAAGGCTCAAGGTTGACTCAGCCTTTCCATCCTTTCTAAGGTAGGTGAAATGAGGACCCAGTTTGTGGGGGCAATAAACTGACTTTGTATAAATATACAAAAGGATGAAGGCTATTGCTTAACGCATTGAAGGCCCTGAGTCTCTGGAGAAGGGCGGCATATAAATCTAATTAAAATAAATAATTTTTTTAAAAAAAGGAAGACTAAATAATGCTCCAACACTGGAGGTTTTTAAGAAGATGTTGGCTAACCATTTGTCTGAAGTGGTGTAGGGTTTCCTGGTGGGCAGGGGGTTGGACTAGAAGACCTCCAAGGTCCCTTCCAACTCTGTAATTCTATTCTATTCTATAATGGTTAAATTAGATGGAGAAATATAGAAATAAACGGGAAGAAATAAAAATCGTGGAAAGGAAATTAGGTACAGGTTCATGTCAAATGTAAATAAAATAATTAGAATAATATAATATATTATAATGATATATATATATATGATATATTAGAAATATATGTATAAAAGGTATATTAAGATAAGAGAAAACGTATAAATATGGATTACTGACGCAAAACTGTTGAAAAGAAGATGTAAATATCTGATTTTGTTTATTTTTTAAAAAAACTGTTTAATAAAATATATTTAAAAAAAATAAGTGAGTAATTTAAGATCAGCATTTTAAAAGGTAAATTAACATGACAGGTAGTCCTCTAGATACAACAGTTCATTTAATGACCATTCAAAGTCGCAGTGGCACGGGAAAAAAGGAATTTGTTATGACCGTTTTTCCACACTTACGACCATTGTAGCATCCCCGTGGTCATGCGATCAAAATTCAGATACTCGACCGCTGACTCACACTTATGACCGTCGCAATGTGCCGGGGTCACGCGATTCCCCTTTGGCGACCTTCTGACAAGCAAAGTCCATGGAAGAAGTGAGGTTCACTTAAGAACCGTGTTATTAATTAAACAACTTCAGCGATTCACTTATCAACGGTGGCACGATAGGTCATAAAATGAGGCACAACTCACTTCAATGTCTCACTGGACAAGAGAAATTTGGGACTCAATTAGGGTCGTAAGCCGAGGACTACCTGCACAGAATTGCAGAAGGTGTGGGGACCCCCCCCCTCTTCAACTTCAACTCCCAGAATTCCCAGCCAGACTCATGTTTCTCAATCTTGGCCACAGGAAATGGATGGACTTCAACTCCCAGAATTCCCCAGTTAGTTGCAACGATTTATTTAACAACTTGAGACAAGGAAGGAAGGTTGAAAAATGGGGCAAAAACTCACTTAACAAGTGTTTCACTTAGCAACAGAAATGCTGGGCTCAATTGTGGTTGTAAGTCGAGGACTATCCGTACTTCCTCTTATAGCCCAACATGCTGCACCCCCGTTTTCATTTCCTGCTAGCTGGGGAATCCTGGGAGTTGAAGTCCACGCACCGCAAAATTGCTGGGATTGAGAAGTTCTCTTCTAATGCATTTCCCCACCTCCCCTCTCCAGGTTTTTTTCTCTAAGGACGTTTCTGCCAAGGGCCTTGTTTTCGTCCCAGGTGCTCCCACCTGAGACGGAAGTGGAGGCGTGACTCACTTTGCAAAACCTGGAGCTGAAAACGTAGCTCCTGCAGAGCAAACCACACGGGAGAATCAGGCCATTTCCGTGACCACAAACATGGGTGAATCATATTTCAGTCTGCCCAGAGGTGAAAACATAGGAACCGAGTCTTGATTTGCACCTTATCTCCATGAAAGGAGAAGAGGAGCATGGCGGTCGGG